GTTGATATAGGCTCTACAATCTCATCTAGAGGTAGAATCGAAGCGGAGGTGGCCCGCTCGTTGGTGTGGCCCGCTCACCGGTGAAATACGTTATAGCATGTTTACCAAAGACCAGGAATAGTAATCCATTTCTGCAGCCCTTACTTCGTCCTGAGTACCCTTAATCGGTACGAAAACAGACCTGAAGCGGTGGAGGAAAGCTTCCATGAGGCGCAAATTCTATGGTTTGAAGGAGATCAGACAGAATTGCATCCATTTAATGCAGGGTGCATGTACAAGACAGGTGTGGTCTATCTTGATCAAGCGAAGGAGCAAGCGGCTATGTATGCAACTCCCGTTCTTTCCTCATTTCTTACCCAAGCTAATCAACCCATCTGCTTCCTAGCAAGGACATCCGTGATACTCTAGAGATCACGAGATTTCATGCCAATGTCATGCCTGTTGAGCACGCGAGGGGCCGGTTCAACCTGTCCGAAGCGCTGCTGTGAGATATAACTGGGTATCGTAGCCAGCAATCAGACGCAAATCTATGGCCACCGAGGTGGATGGTAATGGCAGCAGTAGACAAAAGGCATAGTCTATACCAGGGGATAAGAAGGGGGAGACTAAGATACGATTAGAAATACCGGAATGATTACTTGGATAGAATATAGGCCGCATCGCTATGTGAATGGGTGGTTGCCTGGCCTGCGTTTTGGCATCATCATCTCCTGCAAACTTTTGACCGAGAATTTTCAACCATCCAACACTCGTTTTACATTATCTCCGTTAAATTTTATCTCCCTCAAGTACCTCCTCTCTCTTATCTCCTGAAGCTTTAGGAGACTGTTACATCTTTCTTATCACTACTTCCAGAATGCCGCTCCAACCACCACCAAGATGGTTGATGCCCTCTTTCATTTTGCTTGCGCAGCCTTTTCTTTGGCAGGCGCATCATCGGAACTTTCAAAGAATAGGATTGCTCGAAGAAGAGCTAGCTCGGTTAAAACTCGCTAAGGATGAAGCACATACATCTGAATCGCAAGAGGCATTAGACTCCGCTCTTAATTCCTCTTCAAGACATTTCATGTCGACCTCGCCGAGGATGTTGTTGCAAACGGCCATAAGATCGTAGCACGACTAATGTATGGGCGGATGGAGGCCATCGCTCCCATACTCCGTTCGGTGATCTTGGCGCAAGCCTCACGCCCTCTTCATACATATCTAGATTCTACCCCCAGGATCAGCATGAACGATTGCCGGAGGCACGATTGAATAGAATGTGAGTGCATGACGACACTGGTTTGACGGGCTTGCTGCGATGAAAGCTCCCAAGAACTTTCTACCACCCTCCGTTGCCTGTGTCTAAGGAAGAAACTTCGCTTGTTATCGCTTGTTATAACTTATCGCTTGTTGGTTTTAGCTATGGAATATCTATATCCAAGATTATTAATCAATAGTAATTTATAACTAATAAAATAGAGCAGAATATCCTAAATATGATTCCAGAATTTATTTCAATCTTAAGCATTCAATGCAGATAGTAATATTGAATTTAATACTGTCTCTACTTCTTCTGTAAGTAAGCTATATTATAAATCTAATATTAAATCGGATATAGACGATGGGAATCAACAATACTATAAAAATTAACTAGTGATCGGCCTTTCTAGACTATTGGTCTGTGATTCCCATTATTGAATACCTAACCCACTCAGGTGAAAGGCTTACAATTGAATGCCGAACAAGTATTCAATCAGTTAGGTGATATATATATAGGGTGAATCGTACCCAGAATCACATATATATATTTAAACTTAGTTCAACAGTTTGAGTCCAGCCTGAGCTCGACCTATAACATAAAACACAGGTCAAGCATTAAAGGATGAAAACACCACACAAAAATAATTAAAATAAAAAAATGAGTTAGAAGACAGTTGAGTCTTCAGGGAATATATGTAATATCCACGGTGCTCGTAGTTTTAGCCACATGAACTAAGAAAAAAGATCAGGTAGTTAGCCGCGGAAATGTTCCACGGGAGCTAAGTACGTAAGATTTTAAAAAACAAAAAAGACAAGCCGAACGCGGGGGTCGAACCCGCAACCTTGAGATACCGTGAAGACTAAGAGTCTCACGCTCTACCGATTGAGCTAGCCCGGCTGGTGTTGAAAGACTGCTGCTACTTTTGCTATTATATTCCAAAAGTATGCGAGCGAACCAGGAACCCACGGAAAAGGATAATTTACTAGTACTTCCGCACCTGACAGGGTTGGGTGGTTACTACGAGAAAAAAGCTCATCAATCGGCAAATATAATCCATTACTAGACTATAACAAATTTCAAAAACGGTATATACAGGCAGAGCCCGTTACATTAATTCGGTGAGACAGAGTAAAATATACAGAACAAGCCCATTGCTTTCCTGGTCGTTCCAATCGGTCATGGCGCTTGTCTTCGTCACCATCGTCAAAGGTCGTTGCAGGACGATGGGATCATTCCCATTGAAGTTCATCGCTTAGACAGCGACGGCAATGGCGGCCATGGCGACGGCGCCAAGGGAGTAGCCGATGGTGGCCTTGTTGGCAGCACCGGTGGCCAGGGGAGGAGAGGTGGCCGTGGCAGAGCCGGAGCCAGTGGGGGTGCTGGAGCCGGAGGGGACAGCGGAGGAGCTGGCAGCACCGGAGGAGGTGGGGATCACAGAGCTGGAGGTGACAGAGGCAGTGCCGGTAGCAGAGGCGCTGCCGGTCTCAGAAGCGCTCTCGGTGGCAGAGGCGCTCTCGGAGGGAGCAGCGCTGGAAGAGGGGGCGGAGTCGGAAACGTCCTTGTACTCATCGATACCCTTCTGGATGGCCTTGCTGATACCAGCGGAGAGGTTCTGAGCAATTTCCTTGAGAGACTCAGGGACCTTGGAGGTGATGGCATCGGCGAGACCATCGGCAGCAGACTTCTGCTGGTTCAGGGACTCCTTGACCTTGCCGCCAGCGCCAGCCTTGACGAACTGGTCCTTCTTGGCGATAATGTCATCGACGGCCTGCTCGACCTTCTTGGTCAAGTCCTGGACGGGGCCAGGCAGAGCAAGAGCATCGGTGGTGCTGATGTCGTCACCGCCCTTGATGGTCTCAGTGCCCTTGGTAATGGTGGAGACCAGGTCAGCCGAAGCGGACTCGACCTTGGAGGGATCACCGCCGCTGTAAGCCTTGATGGCGGAGTCAAGAGCATCGGTCTTGTCGCTGATATCGGCGATGATGTCGGTGGGGGAGGAACCAGCACGCTCAACGAGAGGGGTGGCCAGGGCGGCGCCGGCAAGACCCAGGGTGAAGATAGCGGAGAATCTCATCTTGACGGGAAAGACTGGTAAGCTGAATTAAGATTAAAGTGATCTATGTATAATTGGGAAGACCAAACGAGTGCCCGAGTGTAGAGAAGCTAAGAACGTTGCCAAAAGAATGGAGAGCTCTGATCTGTTCTTTTCTCCCATCGAGGCGCATCCAACAGTCTCTATATATACACGACGGACCGAAATGAAGCTCACATGCGTGGGCAGGTCCGGCCTCGGCCAGCATGGATCAGGGGAATGGAGCCCGTGGTTATTCTTAGCAGGATTGGGTTTAGGTTGCAGAGGCCCATCATTTGCCCCATGGGATTGGTCTGGGGGTGTATGAAGCTACCAGGATGAGTTTAATTAATATTTGGGTATGTCGTAGGGATCGTCGCCGTGACGGTTGGTCTGGACTTCTCTGACTGGTGCCGCTGAGATTTGAGGCGGCTTGGATCGTCGTTGGTCTTAGAACATCGCATGTCATTGTGACATTACTTTAGGGCTCCGAAGCAAGGACGGACTACAACGTGACGGTCACCCTCCAACAAAAGCTTGGGGATGTTAGGGCATGTTTCTCAGGGCCAACGTCAACCTCCGTTGCACAAGCATGCACCCGACCAAAACCATGAGTAATAACAACCCTTGGGGAGCGAATTGCTTCTCTGTAATCCAATCAATTAGGATTCAATGGCGGGGACGCCATGGCATTAGCGCTGTAACATTGGGGTCAGAACTCCGGGCCGCCCCCAGATTCTCATTTGTTCTCTCTTCTCAGGTCCGGGGGAGATTCGCCTAAACGGCACTTGGCCCGACTCTTAGTCCCTGCTTCGACCCTCATGAACTGAGACATTGCACCATTTGAATCCCAGATTACCCCGCACAGTTGGCTCAATTATGTTGTTTCTCTCGTTCGGGCTTCCGGCGTGCGGATCCCAGGGCTAAATTCTTGGCATCATATCGTCTCCAAACGGGGCCCTCCGCTAGTCTCCCCCGATGAAAAATTCCCATATTTGGGCACGGATGTGGCAAGAACCCTTCCGACTCCCCCGCTGATTGGTAATAGCAACAGTCAACCTAAGTAGCGCATCCTAGGAAATATCGAGCGAAGCGAAATTGCCTCTGTCCCGTTCATTGTGAACTTTTTCCAGCCACTTACTCGCTGGAATTGCTTCTCTCCCATGAGCATTCAGCTGTCTACCTCGGTTCCAACCCGCGGGATCTTTTGCTTCGCGCTTGTACCTTTTGTTGGAACCTTGGCTACCCATCGCCCATCCAGAGTAGCATGAAATTTGCTCGCTGGGAATGAACTGAAATCCATGGCGCTTCCTTCTTGCTCGATCGCGTTAGATGGCGACATGCGCCAATACCGTCCCTGGCATATCAGGTGGTCCTTGCAGCTCCATACAGAGTCCTAGTTTGTACAAAGTAGTAGTCGTTACTCTCAACTTTGGGGTCACATCCTCCGGACCCATACACGAGGCGATCCCCCCCATGTGGAACCTATTATTGCCGAATACTTTGGCAATCTCGCCTGGCCCGAATTGGCCTGAATTCGAGTTTATGATTTTTTTTTATGAATGGAAGATTCCGGAAATAATAGGAGTGGATTCTGTTCGAAATAATCCGAATATAGCGGCATTTTGGTCCAATAACCGCCCGGCTTGGCTCTTAGGGATTTGGCGGCAAAGGCGACATTCCAACTGCTCATCGTGATCTTATTAGCCGGAGGTTACATTGTCCTAGTATGTAAGTACTTTGTGCTCTGATCCCATGCATAAATGGCTCCCCTAGATCCTAGACTAGTCTCTCTACGGCCATTAGTAGTGAACATGGAGCCCGAAGCTACTGTAGCGCGAAATCGGTGGCGATTCATTTAGGGGTCCCGGACTACGGAAGGCCTGGAGCTCTGCCTAAAATTGTGCTATTCGATCTAGAGCAATCTGATGGCAAGCACGTTGCAGGATTTCCCTTAGCGCTATAATTTGTCTAATATGGAAAGCATTGCGATCGCTTAGGACTTGGACGAGACATGGATTAGTACTGTCAAAGATACCTATAACACGAGTGCCGTTCCCTGGTCATAATATTGACGTGCGACGCTCGGTGATTGAAGTCTGTCCCATTCGAGGAAAATCCAACGATCGCAATTTTAGATTATCTATGCTTTCTCGCGACTGAAGATTAACTTTGTGGCAGCACTTTATTTGACGCCAACACGAAATGATGATTTTCGCGTGATTCTGTTGACATACGCTGTCTTTTGAATCTAGGAAGTCGCCGAGGTTTTAATCATCCACCTCGTGCCTTGGGCTCGCGCAATGCACAGCCCTTGTTGTACCATGCGACTGTACTGGGATCTCACGAAAACCTAACCATCCTTTCGCTGATCTAGACTCGGCTTCAACTCTGGTTGCCCTGCTTTTCCAGGCACAGTTTTAGAGTTTTCCCTGACCGTTTCACGACAGGGCCGACTATGGGTCAAATAAACCTAGTGCAACACTCATCGTGCCTTGAAAATCGGAGTCGGTCGCTATAACTTCGGAGAACTTGAAACTAGCCCTATGCCTGTCGTGCGACGACGATCAGTGATGTCGATCTTATTAAACTCGTTGAACGCGGAGCCATGATCGTCGCTGCCATTGCCGGTTACATACTGATAAAGTCGATCATTGTTACACCATTACAAGGACGAATAAACTGTTTCATTACCCTGTCTTGGATTATGGAAATACCACGGTAGGAGAAATGAATTGTCTGGGTAAAGGATAATGATGAGTTGTCTTTCGTTTCGCAAGCACAATAACAGCTCGGTGATTTGAGCCATGCGTTGGAGGGTCGGTCCGAACTTTGATTTATTTCAAATATAGCTGCGGTAAGCCGTGCATGGGGTTGAGAAATCCTGAGTAAGTACAGTTCAGGTTCTTGGCTGATACACAGCACGATGTACAAATCATGAGCCCATGCTTTCGCCGTAGAGCCTTTCTTCGACGACGAAACCATCGTAACATCGATTGAACTAACCACCCCTCTCAGCTTCGTGATTGATTCCTTTGTGTTTTCTTCTGTGTCTCTTCTGCTTTCCTGCCAATTGGCGAGGTAGTAACTGGATGACACTGCACTGCAACTTTATGCTAGATGCACCCTGTCCCTTTCCGATTACACCAAGGTATAAACCTATGTGAACAGGTTGCCCACAAATTCCCGTTGCTGTCCTCCCGAAAGTCATCTACTTACTTTCATACCTCTTCATTTCGGTTAGAACTTCTTCTTTGCTTACCTGAGACGAATAAACAAACTCCCAGCTTAAACAGCGTCACTTGAATCCAAATGTCAATATATCAAGTTGAGAATCCTAGAATTTGTTGAAACCGACCGTCCCAGAGTTCCTAACCAAGCATCTGCATGCTCTGTACTTCTCTGTCCTTGCCACAGTCTTGGAATCAGATATTCGTATTTCTTTTTTTATCTCCGCAACTAATAAGCTCCAGAGAATGACCTGAGTGATCCCACGTCACCTGCAATCGCTAACTCCACCCGGCAATATTCACTTCATCTCCAAGCTCAGATCACCGTCTCTGCGAGTTATGTCCGATGTATAACCCATCGCCCCGACGAGCCGTACACTCAGTAGTGTCGCCCTCGATCGGAGGATTAGTGATATAATGCCAATAACATATCACTATTACCAGAGCGAAAATTATATTTGGGATTAGGATGTTGCAACGGGCGCTCTATGCACACAGATGTGAAGTGGTGCTTGCTCAACATACACACACATCGCCACACCTTGATAATGGATGATTTGCACGGCTGATGCGCTACTTATTGCATCAATATGCATGGACTTCTTCCATAGGTGAATATAATTCAGTGGATTATCTCACATGGTATTGCCTTGCCGTAGTAGACGTTAGTAAAGTATTGTACATCCCTAATATCCTTGCTATACCTTCATTCTCCAATCCGACGTTAGTTTTGCCATGGAAGAATGCGATTAGAGCTGTATAGTGATAGTTGAAACTAAATGATAGGTTTTGGCAGCACAAGGACTAACTAGTATGTGTATCATATCTATAGTCGTCTTGAAAATCACGGGAAGCTTAAATCGGCATTAAATGCATATAAATATATGAACAATCCTCACTATGCAAATGCGTTTGGCTCATGGGTCTATCTAGCTTTATTCTCACTAGCAATATTACTTAAAATTAAAGGATACATCCAAACATAATAACAAAGAAGCTGTACAAGTCTTAATAGTCATATACATACATTTCACAACCTGCTAGCCTGCTAGAAATATATATATCCCATTCCGGGCCAAAACGTACCAGTACATTTTGTCATGATATATATACCACACTACACTCACTCCTAATCTAAGTACACGCGACAAAGTTGTTACCACTAGCTCCAGTGTGGGTAATCAAACCAGCCAACTCATCGTTACTATTGAACACCACACGGTCCGCGCCAGGAGAGCCGCCATCGTAGGTCTCTCCGGAGCTCAGAATAGGCCACTCATAGTAAGGAGACGACACAGGGAAGTCGAAGCCCTCGTAGTTGTTGTACTTGTGAGGGTAGTTGTTGCTGCCGACGGTCTCGCCGGACTGCTGCAACTTGTAACCGGCAGCCTGGGCAGTGGAAACGGCGGAGGAGGAGTAGCAGTTGCTACCGCAGGTGTAGTCACAGGCGCGCTCAACGACAGAGGGGAGGGCGAGGGAGGTGGGGAGGAGGAGGGTAGCGAGGGTCAGGAGCTGTTGAATTTTTTTTTTGTTAGGACCTTACATAACTGTATGGGATACGATGGGTGGAAAAAGTGGAGTTGGAGATGGAGTATTGGGTTGGGACGATCGCGATCATACATACCTTGCTGTACATCATCTTGATCAACGGGTGCGATCTGCGTGCGGTTCCAAGATTTGGTCCTTTGGGTCTTTGGTTTGAAGGATCAAGGGCAATTGTCTTTGCTGATTGATAATTCTTTTCTCTTTCTGTTTCGGGGGGTTTTAATGCGTTTAAATAATGTTCAGATCAAGCTATCCACGTTGTCTCTACGCTCGGCATTGCCGCATTCCGGCATCTGTCCGGCTGAGATAGTAACTATTGATATGCGGTGTTACATTTCGGAGGTGCCCGTGAAGAATGTCGATAAGCAGATTGGTAGAAAGGCATGCAAGGCCGGCTGATCTTTCTGGAGGTAAGGCGTTGTTTCGAATTGATTACATTTGATTGGATTGAAATGTATTTGCAGTGCAGATCCCTTCGCTTGTCTGAGGATTTCTTTGATCCTTATTTGCGGTGAGGGTTATCGCGCTCAGCTGACTGTGGCCAATGAGAGGCGGACAGGGGGTGCACGGGTGTCCGTTGGAGAAATTATATATGTGAAGAACTAATTAGCCTGTTTAAAATCGAATGAAAAATAGTGCAGAATACATTTATGGATTGATTTCTATGCAAGTGATCGTCGCCCCCAGTGCGGCCATGACTGGCTGTCCGACTTTCTTGACATTGCCCCCCTGATTTCATTTCTCCACTAACCTACGATGTAGCTTTCGGACTCTCCGTCGGAATCCGCAAAACGGCCCGGCCCTCTATCGCAAACCGTTCCAAACGCTCAATCACCGTGTTCACTTCCGTTAAATCATAAACCTGATAGTGAGTAGACACCCGCCCGGCCGCTGCCATTTTCAGGAGATCCTGCATCTCCTCTTCCGTCCCCACACAACTCCCAACAACATGAATCCCGCGATTCACGCAGTCTAATGGCGAGATAGGCATGAGGTAGTCTTGCGCGGGGAGACCAACACAGACGAGAGTGCCGACGGGGCGAAGGAGTCGGAGAGCTTGGTTGTATGCGGTTGCAAGACCGACGACTACAACGACGGCGTGCGCGCCCGCGCCATCGGTTAGATTTTGGACTTCTTTCTCCACCTGTCTGAGTGTCAGTTTTACACACGTGGTTCACAAAGCGATTAGATCCACCGACATCGTTACGGAAATCGACAAATGCCGCCGCGCCGGACTTCATGCAAATGTCTTGCTTCGATGCGCTGTGACTGGGTTAGCTCTTGTTGTGGAGTTGTGTTCGCTTAGGAATTGTGGTACCTGTCCACCGCGATGATATTGTACCCCATTTCCTTTCCGATTTGGATTCCTCTGTGATGGGGTGAGCGGGTGTTGTCTGAACTCTGCAAGCGATTGTGATTCTTACAAATGTCCCAATCCACCACCGGCGCCCATAATTACGACCCAATCGCCCTTTTGGCAGAACCTGTGCAGTTTGTTCAGAGCGCCGTACATGGTCAGGCCGGCTATACTGTCAGTATCGCTGATTTCAGACTCAGAGTGGAAGAGAAAGGGGATACATACCGCATAACAAAGCCGCAACGGCCTCCGGCTGCAGTTCCTCAGGGATAATGGACACGAAATCGGCCGGGGAGACAATATATTCTGTCGCTGTTAGCAGCTCATCCGAACCGCGAACTTGTGGAAGGTATACGCTGAAACGTTCCCGGGACATTCTAATCTAATCAGCAAGAGAATGTGTGGAATGAGGGAAAGAAACTGACCCGGCCGGAGTTACTCTGATTCGGACAGTTCGGATAGTTGACTTTACACGTCGGACACTTCATGCAGGTGCTATACAGCCATCTGGTCCTTCTTAGTTACTTTCTAAGCAGCTCCGACATTAGAGAGTGGGTGATACTTCACGCCCACGCGCTTCCCTATCATGCCCTCGGCCGTATCCGGGCCCACTGGATATCGTCAATCTGTCGCCCACTGAGTCGATGTTTTATAGGGGACTTACCTTGGACCACCCTCCCGATCCCCTCGTGGCCGGGGACATTCGTGCTCATAGGTAATTCCCCATTAATGTTGTGTAAATCCGAATGACTATCCGCCTATTAGCGACTGTACGCTAATTCGTAACCCACCACGGATCAAGCTGAAAATTAGAATACCAGAACCCAGTACACTCCAACTTAATCAATACCTCGCCTGCCTTCGGCTCAGGAACGGGGATATCATGGCGGAGGTCCAGTTTGGCGCCGGGGTGCGGGCGCTCAATCGTAGCCGCAGTTTGGTATTTCGGGATGGACATCTTTGAAGTTATAAATCAACTACGTACTCCGTATAGAGAACAATCTTCGTAGCAAGAAAGCAAGAAAAAAAAATTATTGTGTGGTTCGGGCATGTGTTTTTTTTTTAATGATCAATCAGACTCCGTAAATCCGAACCCACATCTCCATATCCGCAGATGCGGGGGAGCATCGAGGTTTGGGGAATTTCCAGGTCAATTCCCGGTTATGATAACCGACTCGGCTACCGATTGGAGCTGGACCTCCGTTGACATGAATCATATATACATTTCTATTTCTATTCTTCAAATACTCGACATTGCAGTATTAACCAATAAATATATCCTTCAACCTGGTCAACCAGCCCTGCTGTTTGTCCGTTTCTGTCTCGTCAATCACAGCGACTCTTCTTCCCGTCCAGATATCCATCTCCTCGAGTTTGACGATCTTCGTCTTATTCCAAATCTTATATCCCACAACCAGCATCACGAAAACCGGAAGCAAGATATAATTAATAATGAAGTCATCCACACTAAATGGATTTAAAAAGGCCGTATACCCCTGGAAGAAAACGAGGAAGATAGTCGCACCCAGCGCGAAATACGTCCCGTAGGGATAGAGGGCAGCTCGGAAAGGAAGTCGGGATGGATCATCGCCTTGTACGACCATTGCTTTGCGGAAACGGATATGTGCGATGCAAATGACGGCCCAGACTACGAAGGTTGCCACTTTTTTTTTGTCGGAGTTAGCAGTGTTCGAATTATGAGGTCAGAAAGGGAGGGAGTGTTGGTGTGGATTACTTACCTCCTGCTAAGGTGATTAATGCGGAGTATATCCGGCCCGCGCTCGAGGAGAGGGTTAGGAAGACGATGCAGGTGAAGATGTTCGAGAAGATCAGGGCCGCCCAGGGCACACCCCGGGAATTCGTGCGACCGATGAAGCGAGGTGCCTTGCCGTTGCGAGCCATGAAGAGCATTGTTCGGGATGCGACATACAATGAGCCGTTTCCGGCGGAGATGACGCTAATTACGATTAGGGCGTTGATTAGATGCGCGGCTGGAAGGATGCCTGCGTCGGTGAGCGCGATGGTCAATGGGGAGCTGGCGGCGGTGGAGGTGGAGCTGAGAAGTTTGGGATGGTTGTAGGGGAGTAGGATTCCTAGGAAGAAGAAGGTTCCTGGTACTTGTCAGCGCGTTGCTTGTCTGCCTTGCGGAAGCGAGGTATACCAATGTAGAAGATCAGGATACGCCAGAAGACCTGCTTGATGGCGGTTGGGACGGCCTTTTGGGGGTTTGCGGATTCTCCGGCAGTCACACCAACCCTGTGGTCGTCAGACATTGTTAACTCGTTATGTGTGGGAGGACTTACATCTCTGTGCCCGCATAAAGCGTCCCGGCAACGACGAACGTCCTTGCGACACCGTTGATGGAATCGGCAAATGCGCCCGGGTCATGGTAATATTTGAATCCAATGGGACCAGGTCCGACGCCGCCCGTGCTGATGCAGATGGCCAGGATGAAGAACGCAAGCAGTGCCAGCACTTTGATACTGTTAATGGTACGTTAGCGAGTCGGCCAGAATGCAGCAGCGAAGCACATACAGTGACAACCAAAACTCCATTTCACCATACGCTAGAACACCCAGATTGGACAGCCCTAGGAACAGGAACCAAAAGATCAAGATCCAGCCCCATTGGGGCACAGCATCTGTCCAAAAACCGATCACAAGCGAAATCGCATTATATTCACTCGCCAGAATCTGTCGGGTTAGCGATACACTCGCACGATGATGATGAAGCAACGCTTACCGTCACCCAAAGATACCAGTACGCCCATCCCAGTCCGAAAGCTAACGAATCGTCCACGAATCGTTGCGCATACTCGGTGAACGATCCAGAAACGGGAATTGCAGTAGCCAGTTCACCCAGCGATTGCCTGCTCTATTAGCGTCCTGCCGACACAAACGACCCACAAAACTCACATAACGAAAAACACAATAAGCCCAACAAGAGAAAAACTGATCAGACATCCCGCCGGGCCGCCCTTATTCAGGGCATTTCCCGAACCAACCAACAATCCCGGGCCGATAATCCCTGTACTATCTTAGACATTTATATCACTAGAGATAAGACAGAGCACAGCCTACCGCCAATTGCGATCATTTGCAGATGTCGCGATTTCAACCTTCTCTTCAGCGGAGCGGCCAGGGGGTCCATGGACCCTGCCTGGCTGCCGGGATCCTCCTCGTCCAGGTCGGACCGAGCCTGATACATGATAGTATCATCTTTTCCGGATTTGATAGACATTGGCTATAAGATCTCACGCATAAAATCGTGGTCGTAAATGGTCGGGCTGTCAACTACATAACCGTGGAAAAAGGGTTCTATTGTAGGGGAGAGATAATTTTTGCCTACGCAAGCCCATGATGGCGTGAGTGGGTGTGTGTGGTCGGTATCTCTTAAATCGGGCGACAGAAAGCGCGTTCATTTGCTGGCGATGTCGTGATAAGGGTGCATGTTTGCGGAAGACTCAACAGTTTATTTCGAAGTAACCTTCCTAAAATTGTAAGAGGTGTCATGTATTGTAAATTGCTATATATTAGTATTGGCAAATAAGTTTGAACTAAAATAAGAAGCTTCTAAATTACATTACAAACTTGGAAGAATAGCATACCCTAGTGCTGATTTAGGGATAGTGCGTTGCTTCCAATACAACTGTATTACGGGTGGTCTCGCGGGGTGGGCAATTTTAAGCTTATGGCGGCAGCCGAGGAATTAGAAGCAAACCCTTAGCGTAGATCGTAGACTCTTCGTTGATTGGACCTCTGGCTCATATGTGGCCATCATGTCGACAGGCACGCCATCTATGACACATTCCTAACCTAGAGCTTACTATAAGTTAACCATTGTTTACATAGATCAGCAGTGGTGCCTTCGTATAACAAAGATTGCGTGGGGTGGAATCGCCCTGCGTAGCTTGGGTCCTAGCGCGTGGTTTGAGCCAGTTTACAAATATGCAAGGAAACAAATAGGAGGTTTTCAAAGGTAATAAATCAAGAGATATAGTTTATCCATGTCTTTCCCTTACGTCAATATAAGAATACACGAGTATCATATCCATTTGTTTAGGGTCAATGCCATCGCATGCGCAGGTGCCTCGCGCTTCCTTCCGCTTTGGGTTAGTGTTTCCAACTTCTGACTCAGCAGATATCCCACCTTTATAACCAATCACTGATCATGTTTTTCTCTCCGTTGCCCAGTTCAAGTTGACAAGCCGCGCATGAGGAGTATGGCAGTGGGAACCGGATGATCACACGTAACTCTCCAAGGTACTTTTTCCATTTCTTTGTAGTAACTGGGTCTACAGACATTGAAACTCCTGTGAATCCAACAATCCTGGTCTGCTATGTTACAAGTTGTTGAACAATTTCCGCTTGGATCACATTTTTGTTGTTGTCTATACAATGAAGGAATCCGTCCTCTGACTGCTGCATGCAAGAGCTTGGAATACATTAGTCCCTTTGTCTTTTGCAAAAGAGTAGGTGATCTCTCCGGGAGTTCTCTTAAATAACTTTGATGACTACTGTATCGCATGCATACATGGATGTACGTAGCTATGTTCGTGATGCCAGATATTTACCCGCATGACAATTGAGAATAAGGCTATAGACATCTGTGGAAATCATTCTGCCTATATAAAACAACAGCTGATATTCCGCTCCTGGATCCTTTGAGACTTACGGAATCTAGGGACCTACGAGCCAAGACATAAAGCAGGCAGGTTCAACCCGAGCATATTGAAAATCCTGACAGGAAGCATTGAACCTTATTATATCTCCACTTGACCGCAGCTAAGATGATTGTATGGTTGTCAAAGTCATGTTAGCTCGCATGGATGGACTTAATAGATAGTGAGACCTTCTGGCTCTCTTAGAGCAGATTAGACTTCGGCAGAACTAGACTTCAGCGGAACCTATTTAAACCCAAACCCAACCCGAACCTAGTCTATAATAGGTTGACATCCAGGTTAAGTTCGGGTTTGAATGGATTCTGCCGAACTCTAGTTTAGGCCTTAGAACCCGCACTAGGTTTCGGGTTCTAGGGCTTGCCCGCCCCCGGAAATTGCTGGGTTCGGGGCGGGTTCGTGTTGGGTCCAGCGGGGAACCCGATCAACTCTAGTTCTGTCGAAGGCTAACAAAGAGCAAAGTCAATATCTGTGGCTAGTAGCGTCCAATACGTATCAGTGCCGGTTGGGGTTGGATTAATGAGTCTTTGGTAGGAATTTAGATTGATCAACAGAAGAGCCTTGTCATAGGCGAGTGGTAGAGGCCAGTCGTATGGTCCAACATCATTGACGAAATCAATTGGTCACTAGGGATGTAATGTGACCTTTCCCACGGTACATATAATAGAGGGCTTGACCACTCTGAAGAGGTCGAACTAGACCTCGCTATGGGTTGGGTTTGGGTCCAATATCAGGAACCGTACCCGACCCATGAGCCTTGCATACTTCAATCCTTTAGTCAGTGTTAGACCCCACCTCTTTAGATTATATAGATTTGTAAATAATCTTTTGGACGCTGGATCAATGCATCATCTAGGCTTCACACACATATAAAATGCGTTATCTCCTGTGACTAAACGAGGGAACTGAACATTAGGTCTTATTTAGCTGGATGAATCACCTCCCAGGCACACGAGGTACAGTATCCGTCTACCATATCCAAGGAATACTTCGGATGAAAATGGATCACCAAAAGGGACAAGGATTGTAGGTCCCAGAACTGTAAATAGGTAGTATGCCAATATGTCTCAAACCAAGGGAATACATGCTGGGCCGACATGTATTGGATCGTGTCCGGCCCTATACTACCCTGTTGAAAAGGCAGGAGGGTTGGCGGAGTTTCAAAAAGGTAGACCAACGGTAAACTGAATGAGATAACCTATTAGATACTGCAAAAAAGAAAGGGACGAAAAGCATGAGGCAGTAAACAACGAGCGAAGTCAGCTCTGTAAAGACCTAGATTCGGCTTACTCCCAGATCACTTCCCCCATTTTCTCCCCGCACAAGACCACCGTTGTTTCGTATGGCTCCAAAATCGATTCCCATCACTGACAATATACCTAGGAAGAGTGGCTTCTTTGGGCGTTACTACCCATCCAGGCTCGGATACATGCCGTTCAACAGCGCGGACGTGTTCTGCTAAGAAGGAATGATTGTTCGCGATGACTGAGGGCGCCTCAACTAAGGCACTCAATACCATCACGTGACATGATGTGTTGTACACGTTTACCTGTGCAGTAAAGATTTCTTCGATTTCTTTGTATCACCAGTCCGTATATCCCCCCTGGAAGCGCTGTGATCTCTAGCTCGCTGGACAATTATTCATTTTCTTTGCTAACACTGCGCGTAACACCACTGTTTAACTCTCCTAACCATGGAAGACGTCCAACAGGGCCAACAGTACCAACTTTTACTCAACCTGTTCCTGTCAGAAGAAGTCTTGGATCTCGAATCTACCAGCGACTCTTCAATTAACAACCTCGATGAATTAGTGAAGAAAATGCCCATGTTAAAACGATTTATTGGTTACGAATATAAAATTATTGAACCTGCATTCATCGACCAGGGCCAACAGGGCTTTGTGTTCCGGTTTCGATACAATGGAAGGGATCTTTGCCTGAAGTTGGTATGTCTATGTCCACGTCAACCCCTAGACAGACTCTAATGATTGGGTCTACAGTTTTATGAATACACTGCACCATATGATGCCGAACATGTAGCTTTTACAAGCCCGTTTGGATGTGAATCACGTGCATTTGCTCGTCTATGCGATATGCATGAAAATGGCCACTGGGCGGTGCGGTGTCATGGATGGATGTGTCTAACAGACTCCCAACTTCAGCAGCTTTGGGAAGTAAGCGGGCGGGTGAGGTATGACCCAAATTGGTATCGGGCCCGCTGGGCTATCGTGAAGGACTTCATCGCTGATGAGCCACCGAGCCCTGAAGAGAAGGGGTTTGAAAGTATCATTTCAAATTTTTGCATTCCGAAACGCGGCCGTATCCTGCCTCGCGATGTCAAGAAGTCGAATTATAGAGGGGACCGGATTGTAGATCTGGGATCTACTATTACCTTCCCTTTCTATCGCCGTTATGCGAGTTGGACGGATTTCACGGACTTCTTCAGTGACTTCGACACAAATGAATTACCTCTATGGGACAGGGACATGTAGATAATATAGTGATATTCTAGTTCCCTTCCCGTGTCTTTCGAAAGTTTACAGTACAAGTTAAATCCCTAGACTAGATTTAATCTATCTATTTAAAATTTTCGCCGTCGCAGAGCCAGGCCGTTGTTGACCCCAACCTGCACACCCTCGCCAGCGAGTCAGTCATGAGCCATGACAAACGCTTCGGTACGCTCCGCATTGCCAGCTAGCGCGTAATCGAGGCAGCCAGCGCATCCACCAGCAAGACCTCTACGGCCGCGCTCACGCAAGCATCTCTCGAAGGCCTCAACTCTCACCGAGGCTATGGTACTACTGGTCCAGGCGATCGTGGCCAAGATTTTAGAAATCTTCAATATTCCCCTCTCGGACATTGACGCTGAGTTGCCGATGTCGCACTACGGCGTTGACCCAGTCGTCGCTGTGGAACTACACAACTGGCTGAGCAGCGACGCAAAAGCTAAAGTCACTGTTTTTGACATCCTCCAGAGCGCGTCGCTGAACGAGTTCGGTGCTTTGGTGGTGAGCAGGAGTGAGGATTTAACGTCAGGGATCTGCCAGCACGGGGCTGGTAATGCGCACTGATGAAGGAATGAGTGCAGACTGGAGGTTGCTAGAGAGATGATTCATGAAGTGCAAAAGATATGTGTAGATTGGAGAATACACTGGTGTAGACCATTATTAGAGGGTATATACAAATAGATCAGCTGAACTTATACAAATGGTTTCTGTTATGACCGCGGCTGTGTCAAGTTAATTACACGTTGAACACCTGAGCGACATTAACTCTGAGTACTCCGGTTGACCTCGGTGGTTTTGTTAGAAAGGACTAGTAGGTAGGTCAGGATTCTGCCGGCTTTTCAAGTTTCTATATTATATTATCAAAAGAGTGCTAAATGAAAAACTTTAAGTCTAATAAACTATATGGTTATCTTCTGTTTAACTAACTGCCCGACAACGAGCGTGTATATCATCCAATATATTCTAGGACTGTCCTTTAGTTCTATAGAGCTATCTGCCTTAGACACTTGTATATAAATTCTAATTTATCAGGAGTCTGTTTCTGAATGTACTACCGACTTAGATCAGGCGAGCATAGAGAGAATTATATAGTGCACATCGAGAACTAATTGACTGTATCAGAAAATGGATCCCCATAGTCAACATGTCATTGTTAGCAGCTTAAAGTTCAAGCAAACGTTGCTTTGTAAAAAGACCTCCATTAATGCCATATCACATACATGTACGCAGTACACAAGAGAGACAATGACCAGCACAGTCTATCTACCCGTCCATGTCTCGTATCCAACATATCCGTAGCCCAAACTCATATTCTAAGCTGACTGAACCTTCGACGCAAGGAAAGAGGCAGCCTCCGGCGCATTGATGGTGTAAGTCAAATGGGCAGGGGTGACAATGAGTGTGCCATCGCAGACAAGGTCACCCATTGCACAGAAGACCTTGACATTGTCCTTGGGGTAGTTGGGGATCTGGCCCTTGTCCTGGAGGTTACGAGTGAAGCCGAAGAAAACAACACCCTTGACCTTGTCCTTGACTTCGGTGGAGAGTTGTTGGACGGCGTTGTCGATGACGGCACTACCTTGACTGTGTATCGTATTGTCGTTAGTATAAGAGGTAGTATGTTTGGTGGAATAGGGAGAGGAAGCTGGGCATACCTGTATCCACCGGCCACAATCTGGGTGTTAGGGCACTTGGTGCTGGCTTGCTCGAAGAGCGATTTCGCAGTAGAGATGGCACCAGGGTCAGTGTTTTGAGGAAGCGCATTTTGCATCAATCCCCCGGTATAGAGGCCGCCCACACCTTGACAAGCGACCTTATCGGCACCGAGCTTGCTCTTTAACGCCGAGCAGAGCGGGGGCCCGATAACAGTGCCCTGTTGATGTTAGCGGTATGCGTGCGAGAGAGCTTCTTGTTGACGAACCATGTTGCCCATCTCGGTGGAGCCTCGAGCGAAGATGAGAGTCACATCCTTGCATGCACCGTTGGTGAGGTCATTGGAAGACCCAAGCTGTCTGGCTTCCAGTGACTGATCTGCTGGCTCAGCGATGGGGCTGGCTGCTGCCAGAGTAGCCAGGGCAGAGACGAGGAGGGAGCGGAGCATCACCATCTTGTTCAGTTATGGAGTAGAATGTGATATGACACACCGAGGTATCTATGAAGTGATTTAAGAGATGACTTGCTGGAGGGCTGGGATAGAATTATCTGTAATCGTAGGATCCATCCCCCTTTTATACTCTTTTACCATTACCCTAGTTGAAAACCATTGCCCTGATAATCTCCCGATATTTACCCTGCGTCTACCGGTAGCCACTATACCCAAACTTGAGTCTATCTTAGTGGGAGCCTTAGAACCCTCTGCTTTTACATTTCTTTTTTTTTCTAATCTCACATTTACCCTGGAGCCTGGCGCCCTGACCCTGTTTCACAGTGAACACCAGCCAGGGTATCTAACGACCTAACGACACTATAGCGGGACAATTAACCCGCTAGAGAATACCTAGTCCGTAGGGTCTCGGATGAACTCCTGGTTTTCACTATCTGACATCCAATCGGCATTTTGCGCTTGGCATCAAAATCCTCTAAAAAAGAGCCAGTGACCGAATCGGGATTTGCATCCGCTCCTAGTTGGGTTGGGAACTTGGGATGGCTCCACTTGTTCCCATTATTGGGGGTTGAAGAACAATGGAAGTTTTATTGGGCTCTTCCTCTCTTTCGACTCCTCGCTCTACACAGGTCTCATAGACAATATAGAATACTAACCAGGTACTGTCCAATAAGTGCATAAGTAGATATAGTCCCGATCGTTAAAGTATATCATCCAAAAATTATCTGTCACAAATCCGTAGCCATCATACGCCCGCGTTCCTGCGTCAGATCTCGTGCCGCTAGGGACAGCGGAACCGAGCCCTAGTGGGGCGCCATACCCGGAGGATTCACCTCCAAGATACAAACCAGGTTAGGGGCTTCGTGCTAGACTCAAACAAGCTGTTTTCTGTTGGAGAGCAAAGTTCGTCGATTTTTACATTTGGAGAAATGATTGTCGCGCGAAGCACCTGTGATTTCCATGGGTGGTAGGCCGGATACGAAGTGCCAGGTATCGTCGGCATGTCGTCGGAGAAAATCGGTGCCAAGGTTGTTGAGGTTGGAGCGCATCCTAATCCTGTTGGATACGAGGGTTTTGGTTTTACTCCGGGGTTTGGCTTGAGGATAAGAGGTATTTTTCGCTTGGTGTTTATCGGAAACTTGGGTTGATTCATCGGATAGATCCCTGGTGGGGCGGTTTGTTTCGTCTTTGGGTTGTGATCTGTGCTGTGGGATGGCTGGTGACAAGGTTGTGTCTGTATATCCAATCGTAGCGGTTTTTACGACATGACATCCTCGGCACTTTGCTATCTGCTCCTGCTCATCTGTCACTGTTCATAGTGTGACTCTGCCGAAATATGATCCTTCATATTAACCCATGTTAAGTGCAAGGTCCTCCGCCAACGCGACTGGCTGCACGCTGGGATTGAGGGCCGTCTATCTCAAACACCAACATACCAGGCAGACGCAGAAGTCGAAATGAAAAACTTCATTTTAGGTTTCAGCCAACGTATGGAAAGAATACCATCTAGAATATTCAGACCAGGTTTCTCCGCATTTCATCATCTAGGAGTCATGAATATCACTCTCCGATATAACCCTAAGAATTTCTCTCAAATCACGCAATAAAGCTTAGCCATGGGTCTCGACTCTATGACAGTCCTTCGCAATCGATTATAGTTGTTCCTAAATCGATACTTGCATTCCAGGGAAAAATACCAGGACCCTGAGTAACAGATACAACTGTCAAGTTATTGTCTGTCATTAGTATTCGATCTGACACCGACGCGGTCTGGTGTATCGAAATCCCGTCAATGAAATCAGCATATATTACGAGAACCATCACATATTGTAGATACAATAACAAGAACTATACCGAGGTAAACCCCTTTTGGTCCATGATTTAAGAATGATTTTCTAGGTGAACGTAGATCCCGGGGCATATCGGTATTGGACATCTATTTTTGGACCCGAGAAGGGGGCATATCCGATAATTAACCTTGATGATTTTCTAGTTTGGTTTAGTCCTTCATTTCCAAAATGTCCAAGTAAGCATAAGTTAATATTTATGATCTACAGAAGTAGCTTTGGGGCTTCCGTTTGTTTGTCTGGCGTGGAGTTAAAGATGTAGGACTACTGTTTCACCACATTCTTCTAGAAGATGAATACATCCCGATAGATGATGTCAGAGACTTTCATTCCCGCTCTCTTCTGTTTCATATACATGAGACCGTATACGATCAAGCCTTTCCAGTATACTTCAACGAATAAACACCCCTTTCAATACTATTCAACAAAATATTTCCGCTCGGGAAATAAGGATAAACACTCCAAGCACCCACAAACTCAACCTCCCCACCTTGGGCATCATCTTCAGGGTGGCAGTCAAAGAAACCAACCTGTTTGAAACCCTTGCCGGTCGGATCTTCCTTAATAGAGCTAACATCGACGATGCGCAGTCCGCTCCCGTAGTTAGCTTGGTATGTCAACCCATCGATAACATACTGGTTATGGTCAATTGATCGCACGGGAGATTGGTAGGTTCCCGTGTGTTTCGGGTTCGCTAGATCCTTAATGTCGAAGATATAGGTCGTTGTGTGTCCGTTAGCGGCTTCACCTGTTCCCTCTTGTTCGTCCAGTTCATCGTCCAGGAGGAGGTAGGACATGTCGGAGACTGCTACCCAGCCTTGATGCGTGTAGCTTGCTCCAACATAGGGGGTTTTGGAGATCTGGATTGGCAATGCCCTGTCTGTTATATCGACGATGGTGAGGGTGTCTTCGTTGTAGTTGAAGCAGATCTCACGGTTGGTATATTTTTTGTCGGGGCCGGTGTAGATCACGCATTGTGCTGGTTTGCATTAGTGCTGGACGTTGAGCGGAACCATTTAATTAGAAACACTTACCATCGTGCACGTAACCGTCTTCGCTGACACATCCGGGCGATGTCGGGTTCGCCGGATCAGATACATCGATCATCCACAGGCCGCCAGCGCAGGATTGGTTCCTAGCCGTGCCGACAGCGAAGATCATGTTGGTTTCCTCATGCGCGACAATATTGTGCGAGCTACCAAAATCGCTGTACCAAGCCGTTAGGTCTTCTGCTGTCGAGAAATTGGTCGGGTTATTGATGTCCGTGTCGAGAAGCTGGACCCCGTTAGCCTTGGACGCAATTTACCTATGAAGAAAGGTTGGCACTATGAAATACCTTCTTCAAGTCAAAGATCTGAAGTCCATGTCCAGGTGACTCCGACCCGATATACGCATGATCTCCGATCACCTTCATATCGCGCCAAATAGTCGCCGTTGTCTGCGTTGGTAGACGACCAACATACTGCAGACTGCCATCGTCTAGAACTTCTACAAACGCCGTTCCGTCCGTTTGGCCAATGACGCCAAATTCACGGCCATCGGCCGATGTCCATCCTGTTCATTCTTAGTCTTATATCTACGGAACAGAAGCATAGTATGGCTAACGTACCCCAGATATCATTTCCCTCCCGAGTCGTACTGCCCATAGCCTGATGACTCAGGAAGCCAAGGAGATCAACGTTCTCACAGGAATATTCCCCGGCTTTGCCATCCACGCAAGGCGTCTTTCCAAGGTCAATGTAATTGTTGGGTCTGAATAGACCCTGGGCCCGGGCTCGCTCGCGATGTTCCGTTTTAATAGACATTAGATGGCTCATGACCGGAGCGCCCTCGCGGGAGGCCACCACGAGACAAGCCAGGGACAGGAGGGAGATAAATGATGATTTCATGATGTACGTCGCTCGGGAGAGAGGTAAAGGAGTAGTGCTGATCTGCTGATTCCTGCTGCTCTCTCCATCCTGACACTCTTATATGTCCCAGATGCCAAAGTATCGCTCGCCAAAATCACCGCCAAGGACATGAGACTCCCCTCACTTTCGCCAAGTCTCTCAAAAATCTGCCATTTATCGCAGTAGATAAAGCACCATGATCGTGGGTATTGCGGCGGTATAAACCGCAAACAAACTTTAATAAACCTTCTTCACTCACGCACAGATAAGCTGAGAGTCTTGGTAAACGCCACTCATTTGTTCTGAATAATATGCTAATCTTCATGTGGTTCTTGGGTTACATGGAAAGCGGCTTGCGACTGAACCGAGGCTGTTGGTTGGACGGGACGAGCCTTAACGCCGCATAAACGCTGGCATTAGCCATCTTGGCAGGGACGCAATGTAACAGGGGCCTTATCGGCATTTGCTTGAACGATGAGCTGCTGACCCTTGGATTTGTAATATACGTTTCTTGCCTGGATCAGGGCGGCGATTTGGAATATTTGCAGAAATAGACATTATCGTAATTGAAGTATCGACAAGATAGGCTTAAGGTCAGAAAGCTCCATGTACTGTTTTAAGCTCAAATAAAAAGACACGTGGAAAGGTATTGTCATAATGTACATTCTTCAGGTAGATCATCACTCTCAGTGGACTATCCTGGTAGAACGTGCTAGGAGAGGGTCATAAAAGCGGCCTGGCTGTCTCTAATGGCACTACCCGTGTTGGTTACCGGTTCAAATGAATCACCGCTATACTTCGTATCGTGTCTTCATAGAATGGGCCGTGCGCGTTGCCTGCTGAACAGCTGCTCGTGCCAAGTAGAATCCCCGCACACACGTTCGGATAAATTGATCGCCTCCAAGAACGGAGCTCCGTCGGATGAGGACGAGACATTGTCTTGGACAGGAAACACGTCACAGGGACACCGAAACACGACATCCGCGCTCCTCGGTGAACGTCCTGACTCATATCAACACCTCAAGAGATCATCGTGTCGTGCATTGACGAGTGAAAGGATAGGACGCGACTTTCCCCATACGTATGCTGCTAGGAGTTCCGCCGGGAAATCACAGAAAGTTCGTGTATCCATCATAGGACTCCTCTTCTTTGAGTTAGAATATGTGAGGAGTTCGAAGGACCAGAATTGGTCGAATCTCTTAACTGGGAAGCAAAGGCACTAGCGGGATTTCATTGTACACCCAATTCATTGGCTCCGCAGTGCTCTGATTCAGGAGGACATCTGTCATCTAACCAATAATGAGTAAAGAATAAGGCGAATAGATTGAGTCTGCACATACCATAAGGTCCCAATCATCCATCGACTCAGGAGTTATCTCCAGGCCCATTTGACCAAGCTCATTTAAAAAGCCTTCGGTTTGGCCCTGAGCTGCCGCTTCTTCAAGGATGCGTAAGCATCTTGCCTCTGCATCCATAGCGACTTTGAGTAACAACACCACAAGTTGGTCGCGCGCAAGGCCTTGTCTAAGCCCTGCGATCCTTGCCTCAATTAACTCAACAAGGAGGTAACCCTTGATATTGGTCTCACCGGCTTCAATGGCACGGAAGAGCCACTCTTTGGATTGCTTTACCACCGAAAGGAGATCTGCTCGTAAAAATACTGGGCCAAGGCTTTCTTCTTCTTGCAGCTGAGTGCTTAATTCTGCTGCAATGGCAAGACTTGTCTGCATGCCAAGCACACGGAGATAACCGGTACCACAGATCGCAAACCTCTCGAAATCATTTCCATCGAGTGAAATTGTATCGTGACGAGTGTGAGCCGCCATGATAGATGAGGATGGGTTCAATGTACACCATATCTTGAGCGACGTCTCAACAACTACCTTCCGAGAGTATGCATAGGCCGTTTCATGCGGTGCCATAGCAAAGAACGGGATATGGAGAGTTAAAAGGTAGCGCAGCATCAGGCAATCCACCATATGAATTGTAAACTGAGATGTGAATGCGGTGCCCGCATTATATCTCTGAAGGGTCCGACACAGAGCTCTGTATGACGCTCTAAACTCTGCATCCAGCCGCAATGTTTCTTCGTACGTACTCTTAGAGCTGAGGTCATTCAAGAATTTCACGATCGCGAGGCGAAGAGGGAGGGTTTTACGGAGAGCTATCGGGATTGATACTTGAGTCAGTGTGTCTTCTGGCTTCGGCACCGGGGCATCGGCCACAAGCTGGTCGTCATCATAGTTATCGGGAGGCGCAGTGTCAAAATCGTCCATAGATATGAACACGGGCGAACCACAAGTCATACTCGAATGTAGGGCCATCTCGAGTATCGTATTCCATAGCCTCCGGCGCATCTCACCAACGAAGATTGTTCTATTCGATAAATAGGCCGGATCTCTATGAAGCCCCCAGTAAACCGCAGTCCTCAGTAGGGCCCCTGCTGCAGTCCAGGTGGTGTCACCGCCCACATGTACCAATTCACGGGCGATCAACAGTAGGATATTGATCTGTAGATATTGAAGACTCCGCCTGGACTTGCAAACAGGCTCTGAAAACCACGTCTGTGCCTCATAGACCCATTGAATCGCCGAGGCACGTAGGGAGAACTCTTGATCGTATATGGTAGCTCCGATAGCAAGCACTAACTTGACCTGAACCATAAATGCCACGTCAGGTGCTGTATCTGACACCCAGAGTGCCTCATAGTCCCTTCGAAAGGATGGAATATGAAGTACACGATAGACAGTTTCGGATGTCCTAAGGTAACAGTCAACGAGCTCATCGGCTACATCCTTTGAAGGTAGAGCGGATGTTAAAGGCGACGGCCATGAAGGTGTCCGCCGCGACTTGATAACCCTCGCAAGAGCTTTACACCTCTGCATGCCAGACAAGACATCCGATGTTTCGTCACGTACGTAAGGCTCAAGCATCTCAAAGACATCGCGGCACTAATGAACTTCAGCATATCACTCCTTGGAGCTAAGCAACCTGCAAGTACTTACTAGCCCAATCACACCATTGATCCAATGACTTTGACCGAACATGCGGGACTTATGTACGACACTGCGAGTGATGACTTGAGTTTCCCCGAATAAGTTACTATCAACTTCGCACAGAGTCGAATTCAGGACCCTTGGATCGGCACGAGAAGTCTGATTAGAGGACTGATCATGCCTCTGGTTGGTTTTAGACAGCTGCTCCTCGAGGTTTTTGATTCTACTCTTCAGCGCCTCGATATCCCCAACAGAGGCTTGGCTCTTAGGAGTTGTAGCATCTGTTGACCTGCCCACTATGGACTCGTATGAATGACTTATCTCGGCTGATGGCCTGCTTACGCAGGAAGATGCACTAGGGGCTGTTGGAGAGGGAACCCCTCGGGAATCCAGTGTAATTGTTTGGCCATGGTTAACATGTGGCCGGGGGTGGTCAGAGGGATGCGTTTCATAAATGCACGCCTCATTTTTGGAGCGCACACAGTTGTTACAAGGGGTCTTCCGATCGCATCGGATCTTTCGTCTCCTGCAAAGAGAGCACGAGCTGTATCTCTGCGGTCAGTGCGAAGGACGCGGATATCGAAGGGTTCTGTGACCTACACAGCCGGTCGTCTGCGCCGCCGTTCGGGGTCAGTCATGGTTAGCTTTTACGACCGTGTTAAAATCGGCCAAAACTAAGCGAACCTCACGCAGTTTACAGCGTATCTCCGAAATTATTTCATTCTGGTTTGCCGGAAAATAACAAAATAGAAAGAGATGAGGACAAGACTGGTTTATGGAGGTCAGATTCTGCGCTTTTGGTCCTTTTCGCCTGCCATTTACCGACTCCGATGACCGGCTCCGGGCTTATCCCCGATTAGTATACGCCATTCAGTAGCAACTTGAATAATGCAGGATGATTATTTAGTCCTTCAAGATGATATATACTAAGGTCAATTACCTCTCAAGGTTAGCAAGGATGCAAGGATTACTTATAAATTCCGCACTTTTTTTTCGATAATCAATCCCGGACTCCCGGTTACAACATGACAAAATCACCCGAGCATACTATAGATCCACAAAGAAACGAGGTCGACCAGGAGAAATCGCTCGTAATTTCGCATAAATACGAAGAAGCACCAGATGGCGGTGCTCGAGCATGGCTTGTGGCCGCAGGGGGCGCTTCACTCTTCTTCTGTTGTCTCGGCTTCGCGAATTCGTTCGGCACTTTCGAGGAGTACTACTTATCACACCAACTTCGCGGACAATCGCCAGACAATATTGCCTGGATAGGATCGCTAGCAGCATTCCTTCAATTCGCGACAGGTGCGATCGCAGGGCCATTATTCGATCGTTACGGGGCATGGGTATGTCATTCGACTGTCACGACCTCTGCCATGAACTGACATAGGAGTAGATTATCCGGCCTGCTGCAGTCGCCTATGTTTTTGCCATGATGGTGCTTAGTCTGTGCAAGACGTACTGGCAGACCATGCTCGTGCAAGGTGTACTGATGGGCGTAGTCACGGGCTTCCTTCAGTTTCCAGCATTTCCAGCAGTATCGCAATGGTTTGACAAAAAGCGAGCAGCCGCTCTAGGCATCGCTGCAGCTGGATCGTCTGTTGGCGGCATTGTGATTCCCATTGCATTGTCCAAAATGCTGAACGGTTCTTTTTTGGGATTCGGATGGTCTGTGCGAGTTATCGGTTTCCTCATAATGCCCATCATGGCATTCGCGTGCCTTACCATCAAGCGCCGTCTGCCGCCGAGTACATCCCCCTTCTGGATTCCATCAGCATTGAGGGAGGCAAAGTTTGCCCTTCTGATAGTCTCGTTGTTCTTCATGTTCATTGGCATGTTCTTTCCCCTGTTTTACATCCCTACATATGCTGTATCCAGAGGCATGAGTGCGACCCTTTCTGGATATTTACTGGCGATTTTGAACGCGGCATCCACATTTGGTCGTATCATCCCAGGCATATTAGCAGATAAATTCGGCCGACTGAACGCGTTCACGGTCGGCGGTATAACCACAGGGATCGTTATATTCTGTTTCAATTTGGCAACAACCAACGCAGGCTTGATCGTATATTCGGTTGTCATTGGCTTTACTTCGGGGACCATCATCTCTGGAGCATCCGCAGCCTTTACCCTCTGCCCTAAGGATCCCCGGGACATGGGAACTTACATGGGAATGGGCATGGCCCTCAGCTCTCTCGCAACTTTAATCGGTCCCCCGGTGAATGGAGCACTCGTCAAACACTACGGAGGGTACTCGGAGGCAAGCATATTCAGTGGTGTCATGTGTTTGGCTGGTGGGTTCTTTGCTTTGGCGACCAAAGCTATGACCCCTCAAGGTATTCTGGGAAGAACCTGAGTTTCTGCTCACGATGGGTGTGATAGACATTTTCTTGCTATTGTATCAGCGTGGGTGTTTTTTTCATGCGGTTTCATGTATATCATATTTTAGAAAAGTAAATAATCACCACTTCGCAGTTCGCTTTCCGTGGCTAATCGGTACATGTATATGGCACACGATCAGGGTTTGTAGCGCAGAGGCATATTGCGACTCCTATTTCTGTCAGTCGAGCAATAATCATCTCCATGGATACACGAGTACTGTGCCATCATCATAGTAAATCTTCATATGGCCGAGACGAGCTGCTCGTATGAAATAGTAATGCACATCGTTGCCAAAAATGTCTATATATACAAGTAGAGAAACTGACGCTATGGGCTCCATCACGCGACGCCAGTGGACGAGGCCCTATAGTGTCAAAGACCGAACACAATCTTTTGTCCAAAACCCAGTTCGAAATAAACAATAAACGCCGGAATCCTTCCGCTAATGCAAATTTATACACACACTTTTGTCACACCTCAAATTATAACAACTTCCTATCTCTCTTTGTGGGACTCGGCGTGCGCATGCGGCTTTCTCGAGTACGGCTGCGCTCATTCACGAAGTCCCGAGTAGGCGAGTCTTCGAGCATCAAGGGTGTTTCTTTTTGATGATCAAGACCCGGTGCATGGCTCTGGTAGTTAAGCCCAACGGTGTGCTGGTAGGACGGCTGGGAAGGGCCTAATGAAGGGTGGTGCTGTCCGGACGGTTGCCGAGGAAAGCTGGGGGCGGGAGGATGAGTATACTCGTGTTGATTGTAACGGTTTCTGAACGAGCGGAAGGACCAGTTGCTGACAACAGTGACTGTCGAAATGGTGGCGAGGAAGAACATCTGGAGAACATTAGTCACTGTAGCTTGTCTATGCGGAGTTAGTAAGAGAAGACATACAATCGCTTTCCAGCTAATCGGGTCGATAAAGCTATTGATGATAATCGCCATGGTATGTGCCGACACCTTTGCCCGTCCAACCTTCGCCGGGTCCCTGTTCATGCAGCGTTCCCAGTTTTCACAAACTGTCTCCAAGGCTGGAAGTCGATCGCCGCCGCCGCACTTGTTATCCACATAGCTCTTCGCACATGTCGCCATTTCTGCTAAGATCGTATCAGACACTTCTTCCGCCGCCTGCTCGAACTCCGCCCGAATAGCTGACACAAAACCAAACACTACATACACAGCGAGCGAGAACAGAGACAAGTTCACGATCAACTGAGCCCACCAAGACAGGATACTCGGGACGTTGGGGTGGGCCTCGAGCAAAGCGAAAAAATCCGAGAAAGAAGACATACGCGATGCCGGTTGAGCCTCCCCCTGCACGTGGCCCTGGTTCTGGTTCTGGTTCTGCTTGTTGCCTGATACGCGCTCGTCGTCACTCTCACCGTCACTCTCCCTGCGAAACTGCATATCTAGTGCCTTGTCCCTCCGCCTTCTCTTCTGTACCCGGCGAGCCAACGCATTGGAATAATGATTCAGACGAGGAATCTCGCCCCGTCCGGGACTAGGCGCAAAACGTCCGTACATGTTGAATAATGAATTTCGATGGCCCGACTTCATGGGCGGCTCCGGCGTATCCTCATTGTCCGCGTTCTCGGGAGACGACATATTTTCTGCGCCGGACGAGAAATCGACATCGAACTTGCGCGGGGTCATGAATGCGGACTGGCCAAAGAGGGATTTCGGGGTGCCAGGAGGGTCCTGCGATCGCGGCTGGGAGAAGAGGAAGGGCTGTGAATTAGGTTCGCGCAAGGCCGGCGTCTGTTTCTTTCCGGGAGACTCGAAGATGCGATGGGGTCCTGTGCGGAGTAAAATTAAATTAGCAATGATTATGACGGGCGGAGTGCATGGAGGCCGCACGTTTCTTCTGGTTGTCATGCTGCATGCTGAGCTGGTAGAAGGGCGAAGTCACATCCCCTGGCGCCCTTGTCTGCCACTCGAAGTCCATCGGACTTTCCGCTGATCGTTTGTCCATCTTGGATGATGGAAGAGAAAATGTCCTAAACACAAAGCGCGTGTGAGGGGGGATGACAGAAAGGCAGAGAAAGATTTGGAGTACCTGATTGACATTCGTTCGATCGGCGAATTTTTGACCATTCCCGATCGGTGATGGTAAACAAATCTGGCAGCCCTAGTCGACTTACCCTAGCAACGGGTTCCCCCTCAGCTCACATTACTCTTCTGTTTTGATTTATTTATTGATTTCATTTTATTTTACATTGTGTTATTTTCTTTCTATCCTCACCAAAATGAATTTAATGTTGAACAGAAAAATAGCAATAATTAGGGAGAGGGCAATAAAAAATGGCGGTGACTGGCGCGATATGCAGGGGCAGAACGTAATATATATTGCTCACGAAGTATAAATACGAAGTAGCCTCACATATGACACAGGCCCAGTATTACTACTTCTGCGAACTATAGTACAATAAGATCTGTCTTTAAGTCATAGATTCATTGTTCAATCCAGCGGCTTTTTTCCAAAGTCAGGGAAAGAGTTGGTAACTTTTACATTGTCTTTCTTTTGTTCTTCGATAATATCCTACTTTATACGTAGCATCAGAAGGAACTAAAAACAAATGTTGATTTATTCGTAGTCAACACGCATTCACATGTATATAATATTAAGAAAATCAAACCGAGGGTATGAGCATAAACAGTCTAATAATAGGGCCCAAGTCGTAAACCATCATCACAGGTGTCAAAAAGTACAAAAACAAAAGTCTCATGTAGAAGAACGACTGTACCGCAATGATAATGAAACAGCCACTGAAGAGAAATGGCAAAGAAATTCTAATCAACTCCATAACCGACACTCCTGGCACTAATAAATATCGCAAGATAGAACGAGAAAAGTATACAGCATCAGAACATTTACAGCCTTGCGTGATCATGGTCGACTAGCTCGAAATCATCATCGGCGAGATAGCCCGTGGCGATCTCACTCTCCCGAGTGATGATTTCGTATTCCTCGACAAGCTTCTCGGTTTCTTGTGTCTCGAATTTCTCTACTGCCTTGCTTATCGCATCAGACAGGATTGTCTGTCCCGACACTTGGTATGGCTCTAACAGATCTTCCTCCTGAAGGTGTCCTAGAACATCCTTTGCGGCTGATGGTTCATCAACGTCTTCCGCGGCGGAGGAGTCGGATGGGCCGCTGTCAAGGGCCTCCCGAATGTCATGTTGCAGGGTGAACTTGGCGGTGGTCGCCAGTTGGTTGGACTTGGCCTTTCGGTCGAGCTGCAAGAGACGGGAGTACCTTTCAAGGGTGTCAATCTTAATGCATAGTTGGATGAGACTGTATGACAACATACTTCAGGGAGTGACTCTGAGGCGCCGCTGGACGAGTCACTGGGTCAGACAGAGAGACATCACGATGTGGAAGTGCCGTTCGACCACCGTAGGCCCATTTGGACTTGTGGTTATAGACCCTCTTGGCCGCGGTACCGTTATGACGAAGGTCGTTGGAGTCAGACATGATGACTGTGTGGTTCAACGAAATACAGATGACGGATAACGACGGTATGGGGGAAGAGACGTGAGTGATACAATCGGATGAGGTTGATATAAAGGTAGGCAGATCAAGCTGTCAAATGGGATGGTGGAGGTTGTTGCCGCCACTTAGCAAAAGAGGCAGGAACGAGGTGGAAGGGATGATTAAGAGTGAAAGAAAGCCCGGGGGGACCGGAGTGGGATGAAGAACAGGGACCCTGCGAGAGGAGGAAGCCTTGGGGTTGAGTCACCAATGTCTGGGCTTATTCGGAGTCATGGAACATTCGATAGTCCCTGAATGGCCCGGCAATGTTGCTCATTCAACCCAAAAATAGACACAATAGACGCTGGGGAATGTGGAGCGACAGTAAGTCGTTAACTGATCTCTCTTCCTGAACGAGATAAAGGAGAAGACGAAGAAAAGAGAAGAAGTGGAGAAAGAGGAGATAGCATTCATATCATATCATATCATATCATTTTGACTCCGCAGCACGAGGACCGAGCGAGGCGATGCTGACTACGGCAGTCATGCTCCGTGAGGAGATGATAAACAGCCATCCTATGACAATCGGCCTCCCTTATCGTGACTGCGAGGGGGAATCTTATTCCTGCTCGCCAAACGCCCCCTGACGCCACTTTGGAACCATGGTTGTTTCCTACATCCTGAATAACGGGGGAAAGACGATGAGTAGTTGGATGGCGATCGCCGCATTAGGATTCGCCGTCAATCTGATCCACTGCCTCAGGCACAGCCAGCCACCCGGGATTATGATTGGCCATCACGTCAGCACTACGCCTAGGAAATCCAAGGTTAAACAGAAAGAGACGCCGACTTGGATGGACTATGACGTGAAAGGCAACAAGAAATAAATTCTGACCGAATATGTAAAATACTGGGAATAATACACTCTAGATTGATAGATTTTTGGTACATTTTCGTTTTTTACCTTTTTTCACTTCTCTGGTATGTCCCAAAGAAACCAGCCCTTCTGAACACAGCTTGCGTCACTGGAACTATTGATGCTTATCACCTGCGGGCGGTGATGCTCCATCTGATTGCAGGAACCCCAGGCAGATGACTTTGCTCGATCGGGCGGCTCATGGGGGTCACCTGCAGGGTTAGTCAACGTTTGACTTAACCTCGGTCCAGAACCTCCCGATGACTCAATCGTGCATAACCCTTGCCTGACTCAGCTATGCCTTGGTATGTACATAATTGGTTGCCCGGAGCTCGCCTTAGTCAGCGATTACATCCACCTTCCTACTCTGGTAGTATAGTACAATGGCATGAAAACAGGTCGCCTTGCTGATTCAAGGAGCTCTTGAAAAACTTGGGATGACACTAGGATTCCTTGTCCGGTATATTCCCTTGATGTGTGTTTACCTAGAACCTGATATGCAGTCATCAGTCAGCGAAAAGAAAGAGTAGAGATTCTACAAATAACGACTATACTATACATCGAAGATCTTATCTCACACTATATTCACGTTTCCAGCATACCTCTCACAACCTGTTCAGTATGATCATCCGTAAAAGTAAAGTGACTGTAACCCTTCCACTCGGTTAAGACCGATCCCTCGATCCTATCCGCCATCCATCGAGCCATTTGAATCGGAGTGTGCTGGTCATTATCACCGTACCACAACCGAATCCCAGGGAAGTCAATCTCTCGTAAGTCAAAGCCCCACGACCTTGTAAGGATCTTACACTCCTGAACATACCCTTGGGATCCCTGTCGAAAACTCTCCCGTACAATTCTAGCTGTATGTTTGAGGGTCTTCTCATCCTCAAAAACCGACGAGTCTGTTTCGTTGAAATTATTCTTCACCGTTTTCACTAGTAGCCCCTCCAGGACTTTCGGGTCTGGATGGTGAGCAGCCGGTACAATAGTCCAATCGGTGTACAGTCGCCCCAGACCTGAGAACCATCTCCCCAGGTTCCACAGGACCCGTGAACGGAGAGACATTCCCTGTGTGCCGGCCTCAAGGGGCGCAAATCCGACGAGTACCCCTACACCCTTCAGGTTTTCCTTAGGTAAGGCCCTTGCACACACAAGTGAGTAAGGACCTCCGCCGGAGCCACCAAGAACCCGATATTCGTTTAGACCCAGTTTGCCCGTGAACTCTTTGACGTCGGCGGGCCAATCAAGGAGTTGTCGGTTTGGTTGAAACGTTGACAGCCCCATTCCAGGTCGGTCAAGGGCGAAGATTCGGGCGCCATGCCGGATACCAAGCTCGTGGAAGTCGATTTCATAACGACATGCTGGTAAGCCATGGAAATAGAGAAGTGGTTTTCCTTGTGGGGAGCCGTATTCGGCGAAACCGAGGGTGCGGCCATCAGAGAGGGTCAGGGTTTGGTCTAATTGTGCGGGGTCTACTGTTGTTGAAGAGGAGGTTCGAGATTCAGTAGGTACAATGTGGTTTAAGTTGGGTGCAGAAAGTGTGGATGAGTTTCTAACTGAAGCTGATGAAAGGATGCCCTCTGTTGCCGTTATTAAACGGCGGTATCCGACGGACATGTTCCTTAGTATGCTGGAAGGTACTGTCCGATGGCTTTGCAAATACGTGGTGGTTGGCTTGTATTTATATTCAAGGTTAGTTCAAAGATCCCTAATTAGCCCCGTTTTACGTGATCGAGGAATACGAACTGTCGGGCGATGGAGCAATCCTCCACCGTGCCATCTGACTATTCCCTCCATATAAATTCCGTAAATACTTATCTCGTTTTCTTCATACATCAAGTCCCAAAGTAATCTAAGGAACATTGAAATCCAGAAAACAAGTCCTCACTTGACCCTAGCCTATTCAAAAAAAAAACAATCATGTCATCAATCTCTACACGAGCTCTCCTGCCGCTGTATGCGACTCACCGAAATGGTATTTTCGTCACTCGGAGATTACCACATCTCATCACATATCGAGAATCTTCAGTCTCTCTCAGATCCTTCTCGACCCGTATCCTTCTCGCGAACAAGCAGGCAAGCCCATCAAACCCGGACTCGAACGAACCAACTAAATACCCGGCATTCAGCTTTGAAGCGCTGGGGATGAGCAAAGGAACGAAAGCATTTGTCATTGCAATCCTGTGTTGTTTTGGGACCATGGAGACCTGGTTCTGGTGCAAGACTATTTGGCGTTGGTGGAAGGGAAAGACCGGAGAGGTGGAGCCGATACAGGCGACGAAGTAATCTCGAGCAATACAGCTGAGACAGGGCCCTCTTGAGCCTATGATTTCCCTCATCTTGTATTGTCATTCGTTGGCTAGGTCGTATCACCACTCTAGATGATGGATGGATTGTCACTGGAACTACCTGATTAGGAAACAATTTGGCCAAGACTCATGGAGCTAAAAACGGCGCAAGCCTAAGGCTAAAATAACAACGCACACTCATTTAATTGGCTAGAAAAAGCCACGATGTAGAAGGGCTGACTTTACACAGTATGCAATTGTCACCTTTGACGGCTCGGACGTCATTCCTAGAACCCTTATAGCCATACGCATCGTCACCCCAATACTTGCCAGAGATCCAGTTCCTCCACTATGTAATTCCTGATTCCACACACGCTCTCGTTCAGAGCACTCTGGAAATCGGCCGAATCCCGATAACCATGCATTCGTTTATCATGCGATAGATAAGCCATTCGCTCTGTTGCGGACAAGTATCCGATAATACAAAAATACACAGCTACTGATGTGTACGAATTTGGTTCCTACGACGCCCGTAGAATCACTGGCAGATGCTTCTTATAAGCGGACTACCCGACTATTATGTCCGGTCCAAGCTTTGAATCTATACCAACTCGTAATATCGCCCTCGCAATTCTAGCAGTGACTGGTAGGTACCCTGTTCAACAATTTTGCCCCCATGAGAGCAGTATATGCTTGTTAGGATAGAATTGAAAATGTACAATATATCAGGAATTATTGTGGAAAGGGTCTTTAAGCATCTATACACCCCCGTGATAGTATAAATATATGCTGTGGTGTAGCCGCCGCCTTATAAGTTATAACTGACTGCAAAACTGGTGCATGGTTCCACAAGCTCTTGGGTTGATTGCGTATGAAACCCGAACCCACACCCCAAAGTTTCTGGATGCTACCGTATGGAACTGTTATATAACAATCCGTTGTATAGGGCTTGTGGCTCGAAGGTTCCATGTAAACCTACCAAACAACACGGAGCAGTAGTTGGCAATGCGGCAAGCTGTGCAAAATCACCTTCATGTCCCTCTCACCATCCTGGCATTGTGGTGCGTATTTTGAGTACAAAGGGGGGGTCCTGATAGAGCAAAGCTAATATTGCTATTTCTCATTCTTCTCAGCCTGTCAGCAGTAATTGTGGAAAATCTTCTTTAGGTAAGAATTGCAATTAAGTCTATGTGGTGTCAAACCCCCTTAGCTCTCTAGCGTCCATTTCTCCAGTGCAACCCCGTTAACATTCTCTGCACAAATGCTAGGGAAATGAAACATGAGCCCCGAAAAAAGTTCCAAGGTCTAGATTGTGAAAGAAATAGACTTTAGCGATGGACTGTACAAGCCAATAAAAGTCGAACTAATAAATACTTAGAGTGTGACAATGTGATCGGGATTCTGTGCAGTATTTTTGGGAGCGATTTAATCTCGATCGACTAAGAAATGATCTCACAGTGATGCGTTCACTTTAGCCATATAAATTCAACTCCCTGGTCAGGGCTGGGTCGAAGTTCACATCACCAAACATCCAGGAAATCTAAACATCTCTCAAAACCAAGACAAGATCCCCCAAAATTGATTGTTGGGCTTCTCTCAGGCATCATGAGGAGGACCTATATTCTGGCACCGAATTGCGATTATCCGCCTGGTGGCTCTATAGGCCTGGGCCGCATCCTCACGAATCCTTTGGACACTGGAACGTGCATAAACCCCGATGGGCCGCTACCTATCCCGGACAATATGCCAATACAGTCCCAGTTAAAGAAAGACTGGATGTATGTGAAGTATCATTCTCGGGAGGGGCTGATTGGGCTTTGGGCGAAATTCCTGGAATTCATTGGCTTGACTGCAGAAGCAGCTTTCAACTGGGAATACTCCAAAGGCGATGTCTACCAGTTTGAAGAGCTACGTACAGAGTTTATCGACCCAACCTCCGAGTATATCAAGGACAGCATCTTTGATCCGCCGGTGGCCAAGCACATTCTCAATGCGCCATATCCGGTCATTGTTTACATGATTACGGGTGTCAAGATTGCCACGGGTGCCACTGTAGCATTTGCAAGATCTCGCGAACTGAGTGGGAACATTCGAGGTGGAGCTGGCGCGGCAAAACCTGGATCGGGTGGGCTAAACGCTGCTGCAAACTGGATTGATGGAAAGGAGCTTTACTTCCGCTCCCCATCCGCGTTTGTGTTTGCGTACCGCCTGAGGGAGATCCATTATAACGAGAAAGACAGAAGGATTCAGCAGAGAGCCTTTGATGGTTCGCTTTTCGATCTAGACACCTCGAACTCGCCAAACGAGACTCGAGAATATTTGGAGAGTGCCATAGAGGTCGTCGGAATGGCCAACGAAAGTCAAACAGTGGAAAATCTGGATCTGAAAACCGAAGAAGCCTTGGACGATGCGGACGACCACAAGTGCGCCTTTGTGGTAACACGGAATCACTAATCGAAGTCTACGCAGAATTGCCTCTTGAAAAGTAAGAACCGTGAGTGGTTGTGTTAGCCGAGCAGCTGAAAAAAAATATCTACCTAACCCAGTTTTATTGCTAACAAAACGGTATGTAATGAGAATACCAGCAGCTTGGGAAAGCAAGCATGGAATTTTTCGAAAGCTGTGATAAAGCAGAAGGGAATATTCGTATCGCTCCGTGGGATAGTGGCTCATTTGTCTGAGGAATGCGGAACCACATATCAGGTCAATTAGAGGGTTTCGAGGCGGTGTGAGATATGGCTCAAAACATATGTACGGTCACTTTGAATGTCGAGCAGATTCCATGGCATGACGTTGTAATATCCAGCAGAACTGACTGTAATCGAGTCCTGTGACATCAAGTAAAAGATGGCTCGCATGCCGGGATACGTCCAAAGTTCCCTAGAGTAACTGATCTGCGGCGGCCGCTGGACCGCCAGTTCTAGAACAAGGGCAGCTATACCAGCAGCGATCGCAGTTGCTATCGACGTCCCCGACTTTCGCTGACGTTGGCCTTGCCGGAGCTGTGTTGGCCATGCCGACTCAACCGCTTCTCCCAAGAGTGTAAAGTTGTCATCGCTGACCCTAGCCGAAGGGGTGAACCGCGACGTGACTCCCAAACCATCTGCTGAGTTGATGCAGAATACCTGGTTAAAACGAGCAGGGAATGCAGGTTGTTTTTCAATCGAGCCGAGGTTCGAAGCGGCTCCAAAGAGAAGCACTCTCTTGTTTGTAGCTATTTGCACAGCCTCGGCAATAGCTTCACTTCGATAGCGGAAACCGAAAGGCATGGTAATAATGTCCACACGCCATGTGTGAACCGCATGAGATATTGCCTGTTTGCTCTGGTTAGAGTGCTGCCTTTGTGGGGTTCAGGCTACGCACCTCCGCCACGTGTTGTCTCGTGCTCTCATTCGCAGTTGACGAATCGAAAACCTTGGCTACATAGATGGTAGAGACCGGTGCGATCTTTAGCAGCAAAGCTGTCGTATGTGTGCCGTGTCCGACCACATCTTGAGTCCCGACTTTGGAAGATGTCCAATCCTGGCATTCAACAATTCTGCCACGATGCTTGACCAGATCGGGATGGTCTGGGTCAATGCCACTGTCCAGGACCGCGATTTTGACTTTCTCGTCCTCCCTGTCCCTTTTTGTTTTCACAAAAGGATGCACTCTCTTCTGGAGATTATCCAGCCAAGTATCAGCCGAATGTGCTCTACATCATGCCTCATTAGCTTCCTGGAAAATAAGGCAATGTCAGACGACATATTGCGCCTTGTACATACGCGTAGGACTGTTCACTTATGGAGTCCATTACTTCATTCTCAATCAGTTGGCCGTTGGAGAGGTTACTAGTGGCCCCTGTCGGTTGTCAGAGCATGTCGTTTGTCCTAGACTACATCCCATTTATGTTCCAGGGCCTTTCTACCCTACCTCGAGAATGTGTCTGTGCTGAGTCCCCAGGGCTGGCGGGAAATTCTCTGGAATCTGTTATTCTATGAGTCAGTATATGAACCTTCGACTTTGGGATTCAGGCACTTAAACAATGACAACTTGGTGATTTGTTTAGGCAGACTCTGTTTGCTCGGATGACATTCCTTTCTTGAACTGGTTCCCCCGAGTGCCGAGACACAGCCTTTTAATGAGATAATTTATGTATGTTGTCGTTTCAGGGTGACCAAGATGGTCCCGAGTAAGCGAGCTGATATGCATATGTTGGTCCCAGTCAAGGGTACCGATATTTTCGAAGTTCTCTGGAACATTCAAACGGAAATATTCGAATCCCGAGGTTAATGCTTCCCTTGAGAGCTCTTCGGCGACTCTTTCCCTGTTGATTGCGATTCTGAACCCCAATTGGCAAAGGGCTTGAAAGTTCAAGTTCTTGACCCCCGTCATACCGCTGCCAACAACGGCCGGCTCTAAACCGGTCCCAATGTTGACAATAGAATAAACAGGTGGCGACCAAATCCGCTTAGCTTCATCAATTGCTTCTCGTGAAGGATTGTTGTAACCAAGGCCAGCCTCAACGTGTGGTTGCTTGAGGGGCCCAAGCTCAACAGCGTTGAACTCCAACAGCAAAGCGGCTGATGCTAGAGCAGCCTGCCAGATATAACAATCTTGTGTAGCTCTGTCGCTGCGTGAAGTGTAAGTTCGAAGACGGTGAGGGCGACGAAATGAGGGTCTAATCATTGTAAGGACAAAGGTATTACATTTTTCCTCCCGTGGATCTTCAAGGGGAGCGTTTTCGTCCTCATGGCATGATTTGATGACACTAAGGAGCCAGTGCTTCAAAATTTTACTATTTCTTGCCCCATCTGTATGGCGACCGTAGGCGGGTTTCTCAGCACTGGAGATGAGATTGTCGTATTGGGATATGCAATCTTCAACACTCTAATCCAGCAATTTCAGCAAGCTACCAAGAAGGAAAAGGCTGATGAGAGGATATGTACCATTTGAAGCCGTCCAAGCATTATAGCTAAGATGCCCCCCATCCCAGTACCACAGATCAGGTCAAAGAATTCACAAGGTTTGATAGCCTTAGCATTTTGATTGTCTTCCCGCTGGATTTCCTCCATAACCTTTTTGAGGATGAGGAGGGAGGAATAGGGCCTAATCATTCCTCCGCCGTCCAAAGCTAGGATTCGTCGACTACCTGTATATGTTTCTAGGGTCTTCTACATGAACACACTTCAGCCTATCGAGAAGAGAAGTGAACATTTACAACAATAGACTAACCATTTCGTAGTTCAGTCTCACACTAAAGCTAAGGTTCGTATGCTCTTCAGGTATGAATTCGAGTTGTTAATTTTGGCGTGTGCAATTTTTACACAATATCTTGATGTAGGGAGGGAAAGTAATTAGATAGAAGGTTGTCCACTACTGTCTGGTATTCTGATGTTGAAAGACTTTCTCCATTCTTCATTGAGATGACTGTGTGATAGTTGTAGGATATCTTTGGCTAAACATGTTGCATCCCTTCCAGATGTCAGGCCTGTTCTTATAGTGACCAAGAAATGCACATCACCCTATTTCACAATGGTCATGATATAAGGCCTAGACCTTTTATGTCTCCATCTTCTAAGGACAAAAGCAGGACTAGTTGCCGCCGGGCATTATTCCATAATGATCATATACGGTCTAGATCTAAGGAAGCCTCCATCTGCCAAGGCCTGAGACAGACAGGCTAGTTATAACTAAATAGACATTATCTCACAATGATCTGGCCCCCCCTGGGATCTCCTTCTGCTCCCTACTCCAGTTAATGGTAATCTTCAGCCAAGGACATACCTAATTGAGAAGGTTTCAAGATACAGATGAGGCTTTTCAAGTAGATGGTCACAAAAGGTTCGAATCATATTTGGGGTGAGACTTCGTGGCCGTCCGCCTTGATTTGGAGGCGCCTCCATGCCAGCCGCATGTTGGCGCGGCACCTTTTGATCGTACTCTGATTGCAGCCAGCAGCCTTAGCCATCTGCAGGACAGTGAGCTTGCTTGTAGCATGACATGAACGATTTGTCTCAGTTAACTCCCCCGCACATTTCATAAGATTATGGTTATGTGCTTCTGCCGTAAAAGTTAAATTTATCTTTAAAAGACCCGTTTGCGGAAATTGTCAGATGCTCCAGTATAAAAAATTTGTCACCTGATATGCGAGAACGTTTTACGTTGATAGGCCCGACCGACACGCTTTTAGAGTAAATCTGGTTCTAGCATTAAAACATGACTGAGGGACTGTCAGTCATTCTAGATCTGAGGAATCACCGCATTTATGGCCAGAAGTATTGACACTTTTTTTGTAAAATTTGAAGAAAAAACCCTCACGCCTGTGGGGCTCGAGCTTAACTTTAACTTCATCGCCTCAAGCTCTAGGCATGAAAGCATGAGGGGACTAGATCAGGAGCCGTTTTCACTTGGAAGCATGATCAATGTAATCCTGCAGATATACTATGGTATAAGGATACCCTTGTACACGTGTTCAATGTTAGTGAAATACGCTGAAAGTGGAGGGACCTCAGCGACCGCCAGCAACAGGGGCTCTGCCCAACTTTGAGCAAGTGGATGGGGTGTATGTGAGCAGCTGTCAACCAGAGCAGCTGGACTTCTTGAGGGCTAATAAAGCCAGTGCCACCAAGTCAAACACAGCTTCCGCAACTGATTCAAATGCGAATCATCATGCGGCGATCGTAGCGTCGGGGCATCCGCGATCGGAAAGACCCGAGTTAGAGTTGTCAGATGGAACCTTGCCGAGTTTTGGAATCTCTTCCTCAGACGAGTATCCGTCAATATTGAGCGACGACTTCTTCACAGCATTACTGGAACCGTTTGGCGTTAGCGAGGAGGAATCGACCAGTTCCCATGGGCCAGATGAGTTGGTGCAAGTCGAGGGACTGTGAACTTGTAAGAAAACAACCACCTACTAACACTTGGATCATGCGCATGGCACCCGATAGGTAGGGGGTGATAAATGTGAGCATTCACTAATTACACGCTAACAGGTTAATGAGTATTGATTAACTGTCTGATAATTGTAGCGGTCTCCCTTTGCTTGAAAGCTCTATCGTATCGCTTTCTTGGTCACATAATGGAGTAGCTGGTGTCCCTATCCGCGTTCCTACATCATGCAGTTCGCTTCTGTTGGCTTAGTGAGACTCTCAAAATCGTGGCCAAGTGATCTGAGCGACTGGTGAAACATTATCCAAGCTATAGATTTTAGTCGTCTGGCTTGTATACCGGTTCTGGAAGTGGCACCGGCATCCCCTCCGGAAGTTTCCAGGTCCTTTAATCAGCATCAATTAGTAATGTCTGTTTGCCCTATTTCTAAAGCACCGCCAACCATGTAAGTTGATAAAGCTACAGGCTCTGTATTCATGGAACTTCATGAGTGGTCGGCAGCCATACTGGCAGCTTGAGCTCCACAATCGATATGGTACGTTTCCCTCACTGACATTCTACGCACCAATCTTTCTGATTTGTCGCTGTTAGGTTCTGTTGTCCGGATACCTCCTAATGAGCTTAGCTTCAACACATCCAGCTCATGGCGCGATATTTATGGTGTCCGCAAGAACGTCGAACCGTTCATCATCAGCGTGTTTTACGTTGGAGGCAACTTCGCTGCAGAAGCCCTCTCCATAGTGAGCGAGCGAGACCCAAAAAAGCACGCTGAAATGCGCAAGTATTTGGCGAGTGCCTTTTCTGACCGCACGCTTAAATCGCAAGAGCCACTTATAGCAGAGACGGCCGACAAATTAGTGGAAAAGCTAAGTCAGGCGGGCCAAAGGAGCAGGGTACCAATATGGTGATGTGGTATAATCTTACAACGTTCGATATCAATGGCGGTCTAGCCTTGGGACAGGATTTCGGTGGTGTTGAGTCTGGCACTCGGCACTTTTGGGTTTCGATTGTAACGAAGAGTCTCCGGTTGGGTGCTTTGGCTGATTGCTTTCGACGATTTCCAGCCCTATCCATCATCATTCAGACAATATTCTCTGGCACGATCAACAAGCCGATGGAGGAGAACCGGAAACATCAGAAATATACTGCAGATCTTGTTCAAAGGTAGAGTCCTGCTTCTCCATAACCGATTGCATCGAACTGACCACTGGTAGACGGCTGGCCTCTCGCTCAGGGAGGATGGACTTTCTTACCAAGATCATCGAGGCACGAGCCGAAGCTAATATGCCCGATGCGCAAATTGCAGCCCACTCGTCTAAATTTGTGTATGATCTCCCCCACACTGCACGCCACAGAGGTATAGTCTGACCCTGGGCTCCCACAGAATCGCTGGAAGTGAAACAACCGCGACCACCCTTTCCTGCGTGACGTATTATCTACTGAAAAACCCAGATGATGTGCCGTCTACAGGTAGAGGTGCGTTCTGTTTTCACTAGTTACAAGGAGATCGATGCAGCTAGCGCCGCCCAACTTGTCTATCTTAAGGCTGTCGCGCAGGAGGCTATGCGGATGTACTCACCATTACCGTTCGCACTGCCTCGAGCTGTGCCTCGTGGTAGCAGCACGGTGGATGGTCATTTTGTCCCAGAGGGGGTACATTATCCTCTGCCCAGCATTGACCACGAAACAAAACGAGCCCAGCTAACATATTATGACAAAGACCATCATTTCGACTAGCCCCTTCGCGGCAAGCATGTCGTCATCGAACTTTTCTAATCCCTCGGAATTCAACCCTGACCGATGGCTTGGACCTAGCAAGACCGACGACCTTGAGGCGTCTCAGCCATTTTCTCTGGGTTCACGGTCATGCATGCCATCACTCATGGTCAAAGCTCTTCCTCGGAAGGAGTAAATCATATTATATAGTAAATATTGGATTGTCGTTTGGAGGGACTTAGCATATGTACAACCATTGTTTTGCGAAGCTGTACCACCAGCTTTAAAAATATCATTATTCCACGTTAAGACGCATGAGGATATAATTGAATTACCCAATAAAATTCCCTAAATAATCTTAGTAGCCCACCGTACATATGGCACGTAGCTTAGTATAATGGTCAGGCTATAGCCATGATATAAACATGCTCTATCTTGGGTGTGCTTGAAAGTTACACCTCTTCTTCACTCACTACAATTATGCACCGCTAACATATGAAACTACTGGTTTCTGTTCTAGCAAAATCAATCACCGGAACGTCGCCTTCTGCCACCAATCGCACCGCTTGGTTGAGACGCTGTCCTTGCTCGGTCCAACCCTAGATATGTTGAAGTTCTGAATCATATCATCCGCCAGGAAGTCTCTCGGAAGATGAGAATAAGGCTGCCCAGTTGTGATAAAGTTCACAAAGTACCTTTGCATTATCTTCGCAAGAGTAACGTTCAAGCCAGATACCGACTCGCTAGGATTGTAAAAGGTATACGAAAGATCCACTGCGTGGATAGCCGGGGGAACACTGAACTCATACCGGAAGCTGGTATTGCTGCGGTTGAATGCCTCCCCGAGGAAATATTGGTTGCAACTAATAAGAGATTCGCCAATAGTAGATGCCACGCGGCCAGTTTGGTCCGCATACCCGTATTCGCCGCTGAAATTACCAGGATACAAGTTATCTGTTACGACAGACAGAGCTGTGGGTGAGATGCCGGGGAATAGGCTCGATACGAGGTTGGCGTAGTCTTCATCGCTTTTCACAAATGGAGACGCAAACAACACACCTTCATTGGTGTTGTGCCCTGCCATGACTGACACATCATCAGGGTAGTGACCCTCACCTAGAAGAACTGGAGGATAGTCCAGGTAATTCTTGTCACTGACCGGGCCTTCGTGAGCTTAGCTGAGTCCATTCCAATAAACGACCAGTATTCTACTCACCGAAAACAAATGTTCCATAAGGCATTGCATTACCCACAACGAGTGCATTGGCAGTCTGCAATGCCTGAGTTGGTAGACCTTTCAACTGCTCGAAAGAAGTCACATTTGCTCGCTGGAACACTTCTTGCAATGTGCTCCTCTGCATCGCGGCAGGAATATTGATGGTGAACGGGCTCTGGGCAATAGCCCGTTGGAATAATGGTCGATAGGAGGCGTTGCCAGAGGTGAGATGGTACATGATCGACCCTCCTCCGGCGGACTCACCCATCACGGTAACGGTACTAGGATCACCACCAAAGAGGTGGATGTTCTTGTTGACCCATTGCAGTGCAAATCGTTGGTCCTGCAGCCCTAGATTGCACGTAACTTCATTAGAATCCGGATCGGCCAGGAACCCCTTTCGGCGACAAGAGTTAGTATTCAATAATAGAATGAATAGAAGACCATAATGACTCACGAAAAGCCCTAAGCGGTAATTGATAGAAACGAAGATCACATCATGTCCGGCCTGTTTCGCTGTCTCCATCAGACCGAGTCCAGGGCCATACAGAGACTTCCATCCCGACACGTACCCTCCGCCGTGAATCCAAATAATCACCGAAGACTTTCGATCTTCCTTTGCTTGGAAAACGGCTTCTGGCACGAAGATATCTAAGTACAGACAGTCCTCACTGATGCTGGGATCAATGGCAGGGAGGTCTGCTATAGTGACTGGAGGCACTTCCGTGAGGTTCCCGACCGGCTGCCCGAACTGACTGAGCCATGCCGGCTCGCCCTGTGGACATCGAATATTGTATGCCCCTGCACTCTGTATGGTTCTGTTCACCGGTGGGGGGATAGGAGGCTGGAAACGACGGCTCGCTCCGTATTGGAGATTTGTGAAATTGAGATATCGCATTCCATCTTTGGTGCTCTATAACTCCAGTTAGAGGGCTGTATGAAAGTGAAACGTTCGGACATACCCACCTCGACTGAAGCTTGGTGGATCGTGTATCCGAGATCTACCGTGGGCGCTACTACGGCATTGACCAAAGGTACAAGAAGTGGAAGCCCAAGACTAAGCCCTTTCATATTTTTTATTTTTTAGAAGATATTACCATAATCAAGGTTGAAGGTCCTGCACGCAAAGCTGTTATTTATTTAAAGGGTGACTGTCTACGGACTTCCTGTTTCTGGAGACGCCGAAGGATCATAAGCCCTAATTAGGCGCACGGGAGACCGTACACCACGTCATCATCTCGTGCCCCGCATACGGGGGGGCCTTAGGGGAGCAGTATGGGGCTCCACACAGGACCAGCCCCGGGACCTGAAGGAAGCACTGGAGGATGTAAGGCATACAGTATAAACTACCAGATTTCTATTACAGACGCAGTGACTGATATATCTACTTCCACCGTCACGCCTGGGGGCACGGGACACAGGAAACCCAAGCCCAAGCCCGTAATGATACTACGCGTATTACAAAGCAGGTAAACTCTACAGCAGGCCAGATATACAGATAAGTTAACCGAGTAACAGCGTCAAATTGCTATTATTTTAACCCTTTCCTACATTCCCACCATTCCTAGACAACTCTATAACCGTGACAAAAACTGTCGATGCGGGCTGAGAATATAGGCTACGGAAAGGAGAGGAGCAGGACACGGAGAACCAAGAGAGTATAGTATATATTGAGGGGCTATAAGGGCTACGAGAGACTGCGGACAAGACAGACAGGGGGAAACAATAGTTTGACAGGGACAGATAAATAACTGGGAAAACGTCTTGTATAGTTCTAAAAGATATTCTAGGGGTTGAGCAACATGTTCTATATATAGAACCCATGGCTACAGACTATCAGCCGTCAGCGACCCAGGAGGAACCCCAAAACGTGGCTGGATTCGGGTACCTAATGTAGTAATCAATTAGTCAATCATAAGCCCTAATTCATGCATGGGCTCGGCTTATCTCGAGAACGAACCACACTCGATTCGATCTTTCACGCTTTTATGTACGTATCATTGGGTGATACTTGTAAATTAGGCCTCTTTTTCATCCCACAGATCGACCAGCCCCAACCGACCGGTCAAAGCATTAGTGCTCGCCTGAGAGTTCAGATCCGCCGCGAAAAAGCGATATTTCATGTTATGCCAATCAAAACTTCTCCATTCCTTACCGTTACGATCCACAAATACCGAATCGGTGTCCGGTCGCATTAGGTACACGACTGTCAGCTTGACTTTATCTTTTTCCTGCGGATGAGGCACCGCCCGATGCAAGGAAGATCGCAGCACATTTTGCGAGAGGAACTCTGCCGAGTCGCCGATGTTGCATACCGCATGGCCTGGTCGCGGTTCGATATACATCCACGTTCTCTTCTTAGGATGATACACCTGTAGTCAACCGACGTCCGAGAAGACCATTGACAAACTACCAATGTCTGTGTGCGGGATGTGTCCAACTTTGGTACTTTCCAATGTTTATGGCAAGTATCTCAGTAGTCCTAATGCTGTCGGTTATGGTTGGTCCTTGCGAGGATGCGCTGCGAGGTTCTTGTTGTCTTCGAGATTCAGCGAGCGCGATAGACTACCCATAATCTCACGATCTATGTCACCTAGGTGGACATTTGTTGCCTCCACTAACTCACGGGAATCTTGAAAGACCTTAGGCTCGTGAATTGGACGATCTCGTGACGCGTTTCGTAAAGCATGTTCGAAGATCTACGGAGTATATTCAGTTCGTACATGACTCATTCCGACTCAAAAGGATCAAATGGTTTGTCTGATCATGAATCCTTCGAATCCATCTTTTTTTCCGGCGACAGATCCCGTTTGGCTGCCTGCGGGCTTGTACCTAGAGGTAGGGTTCAGTTTTCGCTGTCGAATACTCGACTTGCTTATGCCCAAGATCTAGACGGCTGATGTTCTTTACCCCAGTACAATCTCTTCACCTGCGCTATGGTCTTTGCTTACCTCCCATTCGCTCTTTCTGCACTGCGGAAGCTCATAGAATTCAAATGCAGCGGCGGCAACGCTGTCGATTTGACTGATGAGTTTTCCCGAGGGGTGGTCACAACAGTCTAAAAAGAAGAATCCTAGGTCGGTACAGGCGCGAACAGCTGTTTCTCTGTTTTTCTGTTGCGATTCATAAGCTTGGCGATAGAGATGGTGGTCAGGGAAGCATCCTCGGCAGTCTCTGAGACGCCAAGCACGTCTTCGTTCGTGTGTGGTGCCATGCTATGTGTGTTGTTCTGGCACAATTATGGATATCTGACATCTAAGATAGCCATTGTAGTGCACAATATCCTTACAGATATCCTGGGGTTTATATAGGGTCTGGCTTTTGAAAATATTATGGGGCATATCCTATTGAAGGCTTTGCCTCAACATACAGACACCGGGCCAACTCGTGGAATTTCCTAATTGGGCGAATCCCGATGTCTTCCATCCACTTTATTCAATATCAAGGATAATTACCCATATGTAGGTAAGAAACCAGTTTCATCGGTAGTTCTTTTCCAGGATGGAATTTGTCCTGTCGAGTTGACGCCCGGCCACAACGGTAGCCCGATTCAGCACCAGCAGAAGTTAACCAAACCATCAAATCTAGATGTCTCAGCATTGTTTCTAGATTATACTAGCATCTACATTGAAATTGACGGTTGTGTACTTGTCCAATAATTCAAAAACAAAATAATACTTCGCTATCGAGAAAACGTTTGATTCAACCAAGCAGCCATGGCTTGAAACTGTACGCCAGGAGAAAGTCCCAGCCCAAAGTCCGTGATGGGCTCAGCATGGAACTCCCGTGGGACACGGCTGATCAGCACGTCTGGATGTTCGGCCTGCTCATTGAAGACGTGAGAAATGCATAAACGAGATTCCAATGTTAGAACGAGCAAAATTTACCTTGATCTTGTGTGCCAGGCTGATGATGGAGTCCAAAAGTACTTCATCTCCGCCAACGCCAATAAAGATTCTTTCCACAGGCAGAAGTCTCCACCAACCAGTGGGCGCATCAGTCGGATGAGTATATTTGTCCCGCTTAGAATCACTGAAAAGCGCCTCAGCCCATTTACCGAGAGATTTGGCCGAGATCGCATCTTTGTCCGCATTTGTGCGGAAGCTTTCGTGGTCCGTGCCGAAATCGATCCATGGTGATAAAAGCAGTGCGCCGCGAAGGTTTTCCGATAGAGACAGTGTGGGTATCGAGTCATGCAGATGGCCTTCAGTAAGATACGACAGAACTGCAAGGGCCAGATGAGCACCTGAAGAGTCACCTTGGAGAATAATATTTGATGGTCGCTTGCCTAGGACTTCTATGGCATATTGGACAAGGGCTACTCCTTGCGCTAGCTGCTGGGGCCATTGAGCATTAGGAACGAGGTCATAGGCCAGGAACAGGACTCCTATATCTTGGTTGCTTTTGTTGAGATCGGTGGTAAGTGCATTGACAAGATCAAAGTGTCCCGGCAATGCGGGAATGCAGTAAGCCCCGCCAGGGAAGTATATGATCAACTTATCGGCATTGGAGTTGCCCATCCAAAAGGCTTTGGTTCCATCATGTAGTTGGACAATATTGGGTGTGGATTGTTGAGCATTCATTAGGGCCTCGTAAGCATTCTGGGCTGACTTGGGTGGAAGAATGTACCTTATGCAGGCTTAATAATAGCTCGTCACGTCGGTTGCAAGGTTGCAGTTGAGACGTGTATAAAAAAATATCAAATGAAATATATGAGCTTACTGAATTTGTTCTATAGAAGCAGTTCCAAAGAACGACCGAGCAAAGGTAATAGCCACATGCTTGTAGGCCGTAGCGCCTCCCGTTTGACCCCGGAAGGGTGCAGTGATAGCAGACCAGAGTGCAACAGCGACTGCAAATGATCAGGAATTATAACAATGTGCGTGCAGACTGGATGCCACTTACCGGACTTGCTAGCTGTCAAACCCAAACCTAGCCACAGCCCTGCCATAGGAGCCGAGTGCAATTCGAACCTGAAGCCGAAAGTATTATAGCACGTGATTAGCAATACAATTGAGCAGGGAATGAAAATTTATTAATTGTTTCTGAATATTTGACAACCGGTGACAGGGATCGTATTAAATTACAAAAGCAGAAAGCCTTTTCCGCGCAAGGGTTCTTTCTTGGCCCGAGTTTTCGGCGGAAAAGAAATAATATTGGAAGATATATTAAATGGCTTCTTGTCCCACCACCCACCGTCAGCCGTGCTTTATCACACGGCGCTAAATAGTGCATTAGTTCGAAGCAGACCATAGTTAAGCTGTAGTTTGATTATCTCAGACACACGAGTCAGAAGTCCCCGCACTACGGACGTTTTGGAAATACCATAATGGCCCCAAGGTGGTATTCCCTTTCCCATTCCCATTCCCCATTCCAAAACATACATCCCTGCCTAGCGTGCAGAAAACCGGACCAGCGTCAGCTGAAGCCAGCTGATGCCAGCTTAAGAATGGCAATTTGTCAACCCCTCTCTGCTGCGAAAGTGTTTCCCCTCACATTACTACGGTATCGAATGGATACACATCATTGAACGGTAACTATGGGAGCCAAAGAGAACAAAGGTCCTGGAATGACAGCAGCTTCAATAGTTCTGACTGTCATTGCAGTGGTTATTTTCTTGGTCCGCGCCTACTCCCAGCGTCTTGTCAACGGGGGGTTCTCTCTGGATGAAATATTCTTGTCAGTGGGACTGGTAAGAGCTCCAAGCCGTCAAGTGCGAAAGGGTTCTAATAAACCTAGATTCTCACCATCGGTCTCTGTATTGAGACATGCCTCTGTTAGTTGACGTCGAATCAGTCTTGACAACCCAACTGACGAAGGCTAGGTTTTTACTGGGGGGCAGGTCGCCACATGGAGGACATTTTACTCACAGACTCTAATCCTCTTATCAACCTGCGGAAATACTGGATTGTGAGTAAAATTGATCAATCTGAGCTGAACTACAGGCAACGACTAATAAATTCTATCTTCCTGCAGGCCGGCTATGCCTCGGTGGTAACTTGGGCAGTCGCCATGTTTGCAATCAAGCTATCACTGTTATCATTGTATAAGAGAATATTTCTCGTGCAAAACACAGTGCGGCGTTGGTTCCGAGTCTTCGTCTATGCCGTCATGTTATACGTAATATGCTCGTCGATCGCGATTATCTTCTCCTACATATTTATCTGTACGCCTATCTCGCATTGGTGGACGCAAGCGAATGCGGCTGTCGGAAAGCCTGTACCGAAAGGAGATTGTCCGAACTTAGTCCCAAGGGGCATTGCATGTACAGCTTTGAATATCGTGTCAGACCTTCTTACGTTCTCCCTGGGAATTTCCGGACTATGGACATTACAGATGGATCGGCAACGCAAGTTCATGGTTGGAGGTATTCTTGCTATGGGCTCAGCGTAAGTAAGCAAGCTTACTTTGGAAATGCATTTTGATATTTGCTGACATACATTCCATGAAAGATGTTGCATAGTGAGCATTGTCCGATTACCGATGCTTCTTAACGCTACATTCAGCAACGACCCTACGTGTATGTACAGCCTTAAAGCAGCAATAACTTGTCTCGCTCTTTTGCTGATTGCTTCAGGGTCAAATGCAAACTCTTTGTTAATCGGAGTGCTGGGTAAGTCTAACGTTCATCATGCTGATAGCTCAAACTGATTCCTGCTAAGAAGGAGCGACTGGCGTTATTAGCGCTTCGTTACCCGGCCTGGCACCATTGGTGCGACGGTGGCAGCGCAGCGTCCAGGCTCGCAAAGGAACGAGCAGTGACAGCGAGGCTGGTCCATCCCAAAAGTACCCAAATAGAGCGGATACGTATTCACACAAAACTTCTGCAAGCATTGGTATCCAAGGTTTGTCTGGAAGATACATTCCCATGGACGACATGAATTCAGACCAGTCAACACATCTTGATACAACACCATTATCGCCAACCCAGCAGGATAGGAACTTTAGATGACTTCCAGTCGGTGTTGTGCTTATAGACTTGTAATCCTTCTGGCGGGTGAGGATGATGCTGTAGTATTACGTTACTTTGAACTCTATATGGCTCTGATATACGCAGCTTTTCCTTGTATGATGCAGTTTACAGGGACTGGATTGGAATATGCTGAATACTATGGGACTAGCTTACTTTGGCGAAGGTCACCATTTGGCTGAGTCTAGAGTCTCCAGTCTGTTCATATAAATGTAATCTCAACATCACTCGACCAAAACATCATATGACACTTAAAGGCGTGCCTTGGACGGTCTATCCCTAACATATAATCTATACTGCTCACTATCAGGTCTACTGTGGCGTCACCCATCCCAAAGGTATTCTGCATAAGTTAGCATGGAAGGATAATCGTCTACTTGATGCCTCGAGGTCAGACGCTATATCCAGCCGATGGAAATCCGAGCTACCGTCTGTCGACCAAGGATTGTACTAGTGTCAAGCGTGGGCGCCTCGGACTCCACACTATCTCGGCGCTTCTTAATCCAGACAGCGCCGTTTCCCAGTTAGGATGCAGATTTTATTTTTAGTACATTGCGCCTCCAAAATATTAAGCCTGCTTTTGAATTGACAGTCGAAGACCGGCGGACAATTACAGAACATGAGCTTGAAAGTACTCCCGTAGAGCATGACTTCCCGTAGTAAAACCGGGTCCATATAATGAAATTGTAAGATAAGATCAGAACAGCACGAGGTCCAAGTCAGCTAAAAATGATAACGAGAAGTTGATTCACTCCAGCGCTCATTTCCGCTCATCTGAAACTCAAGCCCGCGAATATAATCTAAGAAGTCTCGGCTCCCTATTTCTGCCATATCAGCCACGAGCTGTTTATGCACCGATTCCCACTCGCGACACATGGTCCACAAGACCCGCTGGGTGGCAGCGTAGTTTAGAGCAGTCACCTCGGACAGTACCTGCACAGAAGAACAGATAGCAGCGCCCTCGTGATGAAGCACCTTAGAAGCCAGCAATTCTTTCCGCCAGCTGTAAATGTCATTGAGGATTGCAATATGCTTTGCGCAGTTGCGTTCAACAGGTGCAGCCATATGAAGGTCTTCCTGGGTAAGGTAGAGTTTCATGGTGTAGCGCTGCAGACCAGAAAGAAGGCTACACATACAATTAGCTTGGGGCTTGTTGTCCGGAAGGAAATCCTGTTCGTTTGAGCAGAACATACGCTTGCCCGACATCCTTTTCACGATAGTCAAGATACTCCCCAAACTGATGGATGGTCAACCGTGTTTTATCCGTCTGTGCTCTCATGAAAGTAAACACAGGTTCTAACAGTTCATTTGCAAGCACATGATCGCAGGCTCTCATGTCTTCCCATAGATCATACATAATCCACTCGGCAGGAATATTCTGGTCGGGTGGAACGTCCCCTCGTGAAATTGACATGAGTTTTTCATTGTAGGTAGATCCTTCATCAAGGCTCATTTCCTCAAGTAGGTCTGCAAGTTCATGGTTAGATATGGCCCCATGAAATGAGTTCTGAGCTTAATGGGTACCATCGATGAGAAAGAGAATTGTCAGCATTCTACAGGCAAACCCAATACGGTCATCCATTGCCATGGGGAAATATAAACATGTAACACGAGAGAACCCTGCGGCACGGAATTTGGCTCGTTCCTTCTCAGTTCGGAAAGGCCAATTTTGAAGGAAATAGTTGTCGACCTCAGTGGAAATGGACTCGCTGAGTGGATGAATACTAGCAGAAAATGCCGACGGAGGTGGAGCCTCCTTTGCAAGGCAAGGCATACTCTGTCTGTCCTTCTCTATAAGAAGGTCTCTGGGAGCCCCAAAGGAGACGGGCTGAAACGGTAACTTGATAGCCGAAGTTGATAGAGACCACAGGCGTTGAAGCATCGTGAGCCTTGACCGCTGAATATCCGATAAAGAATGGTAAGTTTGAGCTTCGTGTTGGGTTAGGATAGCGATTACTTTATCATGTGGTTTGAAGTGACCCAATTACTTGACGCGCTATTGTACCGTTTAAAGTCTCACTGAGGGAGAGATTTGAGATACTAGCACTCTAATCCTAGACCTCGGGCTATTTACCGACATAGACATGCAGGTTCTTAGCTGAATTAAAGTGGCGCAGTCCGCCTCGCCGTTTTCCAGAATGGACTTCTACCGAAAGACATGACATGAAAGGAAGGGCACCCAAAACAGGGGAATTGTTCCTGATCAATTGTGAACTTCTAAAGTATTGACTATCTGAAATCTGTTGCCTTCTGCTGCAGTCTTGTCAATGTGGCGTTTTCTACACCAAACCACTTGAGACGAAGGTCGGAGATAGTTTGCTCAAGCTCAGTGTACCGGTCACCCAGTGTCAGAATCGTGCGGCCGTTCCAACGGCTTTTGCAATCCACAATGGCGGTATCAGGGTCTTTTCCATATAGCTCAACCTGTCGTGTTTCGAGGGCCACTGCAGAGTATGCTATAGCAAGACCAACAAAGTCCGCAGAGCTGGTCGGAAGACCCATGGCAATGATTGGTTTGGCTAATTCCGGTGGGATAAGTCCCGTTAGCGTTGCCGCTGGAGCAACTGTATTGATTGTGATGTTATCCAGTGGAAGTGTTGCCCGAAGAGCACGCATGAGCCCAATAAGCTGCCGGACGTTACAGTTAGCGAACGCGTATCCAGGCTAGAGGATTACCAAGGGCGATTAGAACGCACGCCTAACTTTGTTGCACTATAGACCGGCAGTGTATATTCTGGGGAATATGCCGTCGCACTACTTGTAATCACGATACTGCCGGCTGTCTTTCTGCGTCGCATAATACTAAGTCCAACTTTGATAACATTTATGGTGCCGCGAAGGTTTACTTCGATGACGCCGTAACCAGGTTCAACCAGTTTGCCCTCGGAGTCGAACGTATCTTCAAAGTAGTTGACCTCTTCAGAGACACCAGCATTGGCAACAAGGATGTCAATCACATCTCCTACCACCTCAAAAGCGGCCAAAATATCTGCCCATCTTGTAATGTCACACTCAATATATTGAGAATTTGGAGGAAGATCTTCCTGGGGTGCCCGTATATCTAGCAGAAAGACACGAGCCCCATGGGAAGCAAAGATCTCTCCCGTCGCCCAGCCGATCCCTGAGCTTCCTCCTATGCAAATTAGCTTAGATATTAACATGCACAAGCGCTGTTTGTTTGCAATATCATAGCTTACCGGTGATCACCACGACTTTCCCAGCACAACTGGGAATATCCGCGTCGGATAGTTGTATTGCTGCCATGGTGATAGCGTCAGCGCTGATATGGCGAATGGAAATTGGCATTCAAGGGATGTTGGCTGATGTATATTATTACGGATCCCGCGGTTTATTTCAGCCTTGGGCTTCATGGTCTAGAACGGTCGATGGTTCTCAAACGAGAGAGTCGCCGAGATCATGCACGCCGGCATACTAAATATAGCGGCCGCCGAGTGATCAACTCGGGTTTTCACGATCGTGCCTGTTGCAGCGGGAACATTCAAACTGATCTACCCCCTTCGATTAGTCGATAATGATGGAAGTGGCCGATTACCTAATACCCTTTTCCTCAAAGAAGAATGATTATACAAAATATGAAAAGAAATAATGATGATTAAGCGCCTTTAAAAGGGCCCTGCGAGTTCAGTTCCCCACTCGCCATCGAGAATACAGAACGGCTCTTTCTTGTTATCCGACTCGCCATGACCCTGATATATCTGTCTCTTCTTGTATTGTGCCTTTGGATCATCAGCCGCGTGTTGGTTATCATTTATCGCTTGGCATGGCATCCTCTGGCCAGATTCCCGGGGCCGAAATTCGCAGCCGCCACCAGTGCTTATGAATTCTACTTCGATGCCATCAAAGGGGGGCAGTATACATTTGAAATTGGCCACATGCATAGGAAATATGGTTGGTGTCAATACTAATTATATACGGCTTTCTGCCTACTCACAGTTCATATCAAGGTCCTATTGTTCGCATCAGTCCCAACGAGCTTCATATCAACGACCCTGGGTTCATCGAGGAATTATATCCGGGGCCTGGTAAGCCCCGAGACAAGTATGCCTATGCGACGGGTCAGTTTGGGTAAGAGTGCCTTACTCGTATCCAAAACTCCACAGATTAGCTCTAAGATGTCGTTTCTTCTCTGTAGTATCCCGGATGTAAGTTCGCTCGCTCCTACCCCGTATGATATATCAGTCTGTACCAGGAAACGGGCTCTCATCACCTTTATATAGAGTGTATTTGGTGCTGTTTCCCATGACACACATCGCATGAGAAGAGGCGCCTTGAGTCCATTTTTCTCTAAAGCTGCAGTAACGAAAGTGGAGCCGATAATCTATTCAGCCGTCGACAAACTCATTAGTCGCATTGAGGAAGTCGTTGAGTCGTCAGGATTCGTCGACTTAACAATGGCGTTCAGCTGCATGACTACCGACATTGTGACTCAGTATGCCTTTGCAGAATCCTCGCGCTTCCTGGAAAATCCGACGTTTACTCCAAACTTTCACGAAGCAATACTAGCAGGAACCCGCATGGGATGTTGGGCCAGACATTTTCCAATCTTGTTCCCGGTGTTGAGAAGCATCCCCATGTATGTACAGAGAGCTCAATTTCGGTGCCGTTTGCATGGGCTCGGAAATGTTTCTAACAGGTTGCGTCATATTCAGAGACATCTTATCCAAGATCTCACCAGAAACAGGATTGTTTCTTCGTTGGCAAGAGGTAGGTAGCGCCTTCTGTATTGAGAATTGGCTCTTAAAGAAGGCAATATTGATATATGCCAAATCTCCAGAGCATGAAGAAAAAGGTTTTCGAAATCTGGCAGGAGCAAAGTGCTTTGCCGATTAAACACAACAACATCACCCAGTCGGGGTCTACCATCTTTCATAACCTTTTCCATGCCAAAATTCCAGACACAGAGAAACATCCCAGTCGGATGTGGCAAGAAGGGCAGATAGTTATTGGTGCAGGTACTGAAACTACAGCTTGGAGTACGTGATGGATCTCACTTCACAATATGTATACAGCAGTCTGACTGATATTTGATGTTAGCTCTCGCCGCCACAACTTTCTTCATTTTAGATAATCCCAATATCCTGTCAAACCTGAGGAAAGAGCTTGCAACCTACATGCCGAACAGCTATGAAAAGCCTTCTTGTCGCGAGTTGGAGGCCTTACCCTACTTGATAAGTTTCCTCAAGCATAAACATTCTCGCGCAGTTCAGCTAATTCGAATGAACAGTATACAATGCAGTCATCCAAGAGGGACTTCGCTTATCATATGGAGTTGCAACTCGGCTCCAGCGTATTAACTCAAAGTCTCCCATGATATTCCGACAGAAACAAACGGATGATGCTATAGGGGAAAAGGCCTGGGAAATTCCTACTGGGACTCCTGTTGGTATGACCGCCGCACTGGTTCATGTCAACCCGGAGCTATTCCATCATCCACATGAGTTCAGACCTGAACGCTGGCTTGGCCCAGATGGGCAGCCCCATCGGGGTTTGGACAAATACATCTTGTCATTTTCCAGAGGCAGTCGGCAATGCATTGGGATCAAGTAAGTTTCTCACCCAATATGTGAAGGTAGGATTTAGATTGCTGAACCTTTATGCTAGCCTTGCCTATTCCGAGCTATACATGGGCATTGGGATATTGATCAGACGACTGGGGGACCGAATGCAGCTTTTCGAAACCGATCGTACTGATGTTGATATGGTAGAGGACTGTTTCGTGCCTGTTCCAAAAAGAGAGTCAAAGGGTGTTCGGGTAAGATTAAGTGCGCAGTAGACGGAAATTCCACCCGTTGGCCTTTGTCGATGTTATCAATATACATGTTACGAATTAGAATGATTAGCCTTAAGTTATTCGCAACTCGAAGACATCCTTCATTTCATGTCTACCTGCTTTATTTGGCTTTCTCTTTCCCCATGGACTCTCTTCTCGAAATGTGAATAATCTTGAAACATTTGCAGAAGCGGTTAGTACTAGGTGGAGAGGGGATGGGGCTGAGTGATGGAGAAGGTAGTTCCTGCTATACACCAATTGGCGTAGCATTTCACCAGAAAATGTCTACGGTTGAGATGAAGAGACTTTTTGATATCCTCCAAGTTCGCCTTACTAAGTGAAAGTTAGCTGGTGCTTTATGGGTCTGGGTCCTAACGCGGTTAGCTGTACAAATATTCAAAACCGTGATAGGAAGTTGGCAGAATGTTCGATGCTTATAAGTGGATATAAGCTTTCTCTAGAAAGCTGGACTATGTACGACTATGTACACCTTCTCATTCTAAATAGCACTTTACCAGTAGGATTGGGCAGATGCTGAGTTTCGAAAGTGACACTAGGTGGCCTCAACCCCCCCTCCGGAAGTCTCATCTCAAAACGGCTCAAGACTTCCCCGATGATAGCCTTAATTTCCATCATGGCGAAGAATCTACCAGGGCAAGCATGTTGGCCATATCCAAATGCCATTGAACTTGGGTTGGCCGAGGTGTAGTGAGCTTTGGCAGCTTGCCCCGAAGTGGAAGTGGCTTTCTTTTGCTCTTGGGAAACAAACCTGAACGCATCGAACTTATGGGGGTTGGGATAAAGCTTTGCGTCCATCCCAATGGCTTGTGCAGCACAGCCAATCCAGGTGTTCGCCGGGATGACCACTCCATCTGAGAGAGTAAAGTCGCGCTTAATGATGCGTTCAAACGTTACTACAGTCGCTGTAAGTAAGCGACGAAAGAAATAACACTCAAATCTGGAAAGTCATACATAACAGTAGCGGATTGAATCTCTGGCTCTCCTTCATTATACTGTCCATTTTAACCATCTGCGCGAAACCTTTGATCGAGATGTTATGGTTGTTGTCACGGAGCGCCGACTTATATTCGTCTAGAAGCGGCGCGATGAGCTCTGGCATCGCTGCAATATCAAAAAGAAGTTGGGTTGGAGCTGCTGCACTGGTATGATATGCCGCGAAGCTGACCTTGAGCAACGTTCCAGCAATAAACTTTTTGTCTTTCTCGGCCCCTTGTGCTTGATCATACATCCAAGTAAGAAGGTCATGCGTTTTTTTGTTCTTCTCGACTTCACGCTCGTCGAGAAGTGGAATGATGGCTCTTTCGGCAATTTTGTAGGTATTTTTAATTGAGCGGACCTCGGATATAAAATGCTGTCCGATAAATCTAAAGGTGTGTGGCCACATCTTCAGCTTTTGGGCCGCGTTGAATCCATCATGGGCGAAACGGAGAGATGCCTCGATCCAATCCCGGTTTCGACTCAGCTTTGGGCCGCCGAACATGCGACTTGATACGCGGGCAACAACCACGGCCATCAATTCTGTGACATTGACCTCTGTCCAGTCTGCTTTTGCACCGTTTTCAGTAATCACACGAAAGGCAATTTTTTTTTTATATGTATCTGCACAGCTATCTTGACTAACCTTCGCAAGGAGGAAATAGTTCTGCGATGCAATCCCTGATCTCACCTTGGATTTCTGGAAGGACGTCCGCTGTTTTCGAGTTAGTCAAGATTGCTCAAAATGGCTTTCTCACTTACGAAGGTATTGATTTAATTGAGCACGGACTACCTGGGGCAGTAATCGAGAATGTGTTCCGAGTGTAGTGTAGGCGCCCTGAAACATCTGTTATTGTTAATCATTGAGCACAGTCAGGACAACTGTTCGAGGAATGGTCCTATACCTCAAGAAAAGTGGCTTGGAAGTCGACAACCGTCATATCTGCCGATTTCAACTCTTCCAAGTATCGTCCAGGGATAATCAACCGTTCTCCTATAAGCGTTGGCACATAGAATAGCTCGCCATTGTTCTATAAAGCTCGAGTTAGCGGGGCTAAGGGATAGAGGTATTCCTTCTTTCACCTCTTCGTAGCCTGCCCTTAGAGTTTGCAAACTATTTTTTGCAAATTCTTGCCGATTTCTTTGGACATTGGCCTTGCCGCCCACAATTGGCACATTTCGGATATAGCGTTGTTTGTGACGAGAGTGAGCAACTATCCACCAGAACATACACACCACAACCCCACCGAGTAAGTATCCTCTCGTGAATAAGTCCATGTTAAGGTATCGAAGCTCAGGGTTCAATTGAAGGCATTTGCCCTACAATGCATTTTAAGGGAGGTAGGTATCGAAGTCAATTGCTTGGCATACATACAGTTAGGGCAGTGCCCGCGGGGACGCCTATTTGGGCCGCCGCCGAGTATGTTAGCCTGCCCCAATTCTGAAATACCGAAGTAAACGGATCTATTAACCTTTGACGTTTAACATAAATTACTAGAAAGTGGAATCACAACGATACTCCCAGGGATACAGAATCCAATTCCGAAGCAAGATGGTCAACATGGATCTCTACTTCTTGAGCCGCAGCAGCCAATCCGAAGCCCTACTAGAGTCAATAGCGATGGTGGACCGCGTAGTATGGTTAAGTCTGGCTGTGGCGGTAAATGATTCACAACCAGATTCATAAAAGGAGGTATCGATTGGCTAATGGTTATGTGTTCATCCAAACAGTTGATAGCGCTTTATTGGGCCAATCTCGTCATCTACAATATATTCTTTCACCCGCTCTCTTCCTTTCCCGGCCCATTTTGGGCCAGGGCCTCCTTTGTAAGAGTCCATATTTCTAGAACGGCCTTCAATATCTCCCCTTTAACATACGGGTTTCCAGATGTGGCGAATATGGCATACCTCCACTGGCCGTGTTCATCGCGCCATTGAGAACCAGCACAAACTTCATGGTGGGCGCTCACTGGTCCACCTATTTATTCTAACATCGCTAAATCCAGGACATCGTATAGGAGACATTGTGCGGATCTCGCCGAACGAGCTTTCCTTTGCTTCTGTCGAGTCTTGGAAAGCAATTTATCAACCAAAGAGCGCACCTCTGGTCAAGAGCGAGTTCTATGAGATTTATGGATCCGGGTTCAACTCATTGTGCATTGGAAGTGAGCGCAACCCTCAAACTCATAATAGAATGAGAAAGTCACTTGCGGCTGCGTTCTCCACAAAAGCCCTTTTAGAGCAAGAAGATATAATTCAGGGGTGTGTGAATGATTTCATCGAAGGGATTCAGTCGCAGACAAACAAAAGTGTGGATGCAGTTAACATGACCAAGTGGTTTGAGATGCTCGCATTTGACATTCTTGGTGAGATGGCGTTTGGAGAATCGTTCCATTGTATTGAAAACAGTAAGGAGCATTCAAATTTTGATCGCTGCCCTTTAATCGATATTTTATTCCAACTGACGGTCAACCAGGGAAATCCCATTTCTGGTGCGACATGGTTGAGGAGCATCTGTATTTCATCACCATTTTGGATAATTTACGCCGATATCCTCTGATCGCTGCGATCGGAAAAAACATCTTGCCACATTTAACAGTCAGTGTTCGCAATAAGCATACGAATTACAGTCGTCGAAAAGTCGCCGATCGGCTGCAGAGTCCATCATCTCGTGCAGACTTCATGTCGCGTCTGATTGCCAAAGTGGAAGATGAGGAAATGGACATGGAGGAGCTCACAGCACACGCATCCACTCTTGTGTATGTATTCAATACCCGAATCAAGGCCTGTCTATCCCGGGATAGTCGCTGACATAGAAGGACAATATAGCATAGCTGGGGGTGAAACAGTAGCTACCTTTCTAGCGGCCGTGACATATCATTTACTTTCAACGCCACATGTCTATCAAAAGCTGCGCGATGAGATTCGGGGCCGGTACAACCACCTATCCGAAATAACTTCGACCACAGCATTACAATTGCCTTATCTTCAGGCCGTCATATCCGAAGGGTTACGGATCTATCCGCCAGGGTCTCAGGGCTTCCCGCGAAATACCCCACCCCAAGGCATTGTGGTTAATGGAATATATGTGCCCGGAAATGTAATCCACGTTTGCCCGATCCTGATTCAATACACATATGCCCGAACTGATTTTAGATGTCTTAGGTAGAGGTATATACATCCGCGTGGACGGTCACCCATGATGCCCGCTACTTCCATGACCCTTACACATTCAAACCAGAACGCTGGCTTGACCCTAACTGTACCGACAATAAAGAGGCTAGCCAGCCCTTTTCGCTCGGCCCAAGAGGATGTCTCGGTCGGAAGTATGTGTCATGTGTTGTTCTTGTGCACTTGTGGAGAATTTTGTGACGTATTATCTGGACGAAGCTAATCACCGTATCAGCTTCGCGATTGTGGAAATGTCCCTCATCCTATGCAATTTACACTTTCAGTTTGATGCCGAGCTTGTTAATCCAGCCCAAGAGTGGGAATCAGCGAGCCAACTGCATGTTATGTGGTGGAAGCCGAATTTACCCGTGAGGTTTATCCCCTGCGCTAGAAACGATTGACTCTCTTACTGCTAAACATATGTTCGGCGTATCATTATATCTTGCAGTCTGAGTTCGGGCGCATTGATCGCAAAAGGCTGTATCTCCTCGCTGTTATTTCGAATTAAGAAAACGGCCTTCAGTTTACAGACCCGAGATACACTGAAAAGCTCCAGGGATGTACGGCTCTTATAGACTAGGTACCGAGTCGGCTGTCAGTGTTGACTTTAATGCACAATCTAAGGCATGTATTTTGTGTCCAATACGTGCCAGACTTTCCGAAAAGTCGCGTCTACTCTGTTTCTGCGCCCGATCCCATAGTATAGCAACGATTCTTCGCAGTTGCTTGATGGCGAGAAGAGACCAAGTCAGAACCAGTGCTTCTTTCTCCTTTGTCATGTCCAGAGTAAACCCTTCACAGAACAATGTGATGTTCATTTTAATGTCATCACGTTGTTCTGGAGCCGTATAACGCCGTGTATGGCGTTGCGGGGTTGCCTTTGGGCTCTTCAACCCCGTATCATCTTCTGCAAGCGTTGGCGCATTCTGGCTCGATAAAATCGGTCCTGGACCACTTGGCACATCCTTTCTAATGTGAAAGATATCTGGAGCAGCAATCTCGAGGATTTTCTGGAGTTTAGTCGATAGGCGCTCTGAGAGAAGTACAAGTAAGGTCATTAAACGCGGTGCCTGTCTGCAACGGCCGCACGTTGCGAAGTGCTCCAGGCCGTGTGTTGCTTTGCGTAAAGACGACAAGCTTTGAATTGCGGCTATGGTGCTGGGAGTAATCGAATTTGGGCTGTGTACTTGGTCGGTTGTATCACAATCTTGCATAAAAACCTGATCGAGTAGCTCCAGTGCTCTATCGGTACACTGGCAACTTTCTTCTGCCGTCCATGATTTCCGTATCATCATATCAAAAGTCTCTTGCCACGAGAGAGAATTCAATGAAGGGCCAGCTGCCTCACATAAAGATGGCCTGGTTTCACCCGATGATGGTGTGAAATTGAAGGTTTCGGGGTTGAGGAAATGGGTACCCTCTGATACAATATCTCTGTTTATCGCGGGATGGAAGGAGAATTCGCCATTTCCTAGATAGCCGCTGCTTTCCGAAGTACCCAGATCGTACGGGTTCAGACACAGCGCATCGTGTGAGCCCGAAGAGCTTGAAGAGCATTCCTCTAATGGCGTACTCAGTGAAGATGCGGCTAGAATGTCTGCAGACGCCGTGAGAATTATATTAGGGGGCAGGTCGATGTCCGAAGTGTCGATGCATTCTAAAGATGTTGCGAACCGGTCGGGTAATGAACTCATCTTTGTAGAGGCTTTGGTTGGTTGAGGTCTCATTGATCTGCCTCTCCTAATATTACCATTTGGCCTACCGGTGATATTTTCCCTTCGCGTTGGTTCGACTGGGAGACATTCCGCACCTGATTCTCTGCATCGAAGACAGGAATCCGGGCTATAGCCAGAGCATTTCAACTGCCCGCCAAATTCTCTTAGCGATGACCTTTCACAACCGGCGCTTGGTCCTGGGAATCATTACCTTCTTGCGGCGGCAGAGTTGACAGACGACATGGAGTGATCGATTCGTAACCGGAGGGGTGCTTGATTCCTCCACAGCCACCAAACTCTGATTTTTGGAGTCCGATAATAAGGTTGTGAACATAGTTTTCATGTCAAATTTTATCTGTTGGCTCCAGCCGTTGGTGGGAATGGCATCCTTCTCATATTGCTGGCCTAAAACTTGCGAGGCTCCACACTCGTCTTTAGCTGCATATAACGTCAGCCGTAGTATATTGCATTTGTTATTGACCCCTCATTTACGACTGTATCAGGAAAATCAATAATGCATACCATTCGTCCGTGATCTTGTCCATTTGCTGGGATCTCTTCCTTCCGGTCATACCAGCCAATATGAGAGTCCGCAGCCCTGCAAGCCCCTGCTATTGACCAGCATCCTTAATAATATCGTGTTTGCCGCCCCAAGATAATTCCTCGGCGTAACAGATACAAGACAATTTCGAATTTATCTGTAGTCCTTGTGCCTCGTGAGAATGGTGGCTGACTCATATTCCCATGCAGTTGTGTCTGACGACAACTTGAGCTCGACCGATTCTATTTTGAAAGGAAAGAGATCTGGAGGTGGATGGGTAAAGATTGCGCCCGTATATTTCTATGCGTATTCCCTGTGGGCCCAATGAGGTGTTCGTTGAGGGGCTGGCAGGAGGGCTGAAGAACGACTCACCATTCTTACAACAGAAAAATTCGCAAAGGTCTAGGGATTCGGAGGTAGATAAGTATCTCTGGCGAAGGTGACATTATTCCGCCGAGTCGGCGGAGGAATCTAGACCCTTGCCGCCCAATGTTGACGATCATCTCTAATAGGAAATCATTTCGCCCGCCGCTTCGGCGGAGTGAAATACAGGCTCTCTGGTAAGTAAATAGTTCAGTCGACTTTTAACATTTATTTTTTTTTTCTTTTAAGTGCGCGATTGCCTTCAGCAGAAATCATGCCCTTGGGTACAGTCCTCCTTTAACACACTGGTATATCGGCGACATTGGACTTGGAGCGTTTCTCATGTCTACCAAAACACGGTCGTCGCAAACAGGCGAGACGGCAGTGTCGTCAGGAACTTCAACACCTGCGACTCTCGAAAAGTCCAACAAAGATGTTTCACCTTCACACGAAACCCCGGTTGTGGGGGATAGGGAAAAGGAAGAGAGGGGATCTGGCGTTGACGATGCGCCAACCGATAAGCCAAGCACTGGAGGTTTCACTTTCCTCATGACCGTCACGGCTTTGGCTATGAGCATGTTTCTGGTACGACTTGACCTTTCCAATATGTTCACTCAATGTGAAACTAATGTTTGATCCGAATGGGATAGGTTTCTTTAGATATGGTAAGCGGCGTGAGCCACGGAGCGAAGCCGTCAAATCTCCGTACGAGAATATTTGACGAGCGAGGAGTTAATCAGTACTTTTACCTCAGACCATTGTCGCAACTGCAATCCCGAAGATAACAGACGAGTTTGGTGGTATCGAAGATGAGGCCTGGTACGGATCGGCGTTCTTCATTACTTTGGGGAGCTTTCAAGCTGCGTGGGGGAAAGCGTACAAGTACTTTCCGCTAAAGATATCCTTCCTATTATCTATTCTTCTCTTTGAGATTGGAAGTTTAATCTGCGGTACGATTCAACTCGAGATATGTTCGCGCCTTGTTGTTTAAAACTGACTGGGTATGAATCTTTTGCTTAGGTGTCGCACCGAATAGCATTGCGCTCTGTATCGGACGAGCTATCACCGGCGTCGGAGGCGCTGGGATTTCTTCGGGTGCATTTACCATCATCGCGTTATCCGCACCACCCAAACAGCGACCAGCATATATTGGAATACTGGGTGCCTCATATGGAGTTGCTGCAGCTATTGGGCCTCTCGTTGGCGGTGCATTCACGACCAATATTACCTGGCGGTGGTGTTTTTATATCAATCTACCCATTGGCGGTTTGGCAGGCGGGATCATCCTATTCTTCTACCGACCTCCTCCTCCGTTGCCCTTCCTGGATACGCCACTTACAGAGAAGTTACTCCAAATGGACTTACCTGGTACTTTGATCCTTGTTTCGGCTCTAGTCTGCTATGTCCTTGCCCTCCAGTGGGGTGGGGTTTCGCTGTCGTGGGGTGATTCTAAAGTTGTCGGGACTTTAGTTGGATTTGGTGTGCTGTTGGTTGTCTATGCCATTGTGCAAAGGGCTCAGAAGGAACGTGCTGCAATGATTGGCCGACTGTTCCGTCGAAATGTAGTGATCATGATGATCTACATTGACCTGCTAGCGGGAACCTTTTTCTTGCTGGTATACTACTTGCCGATCTACTTCCAGGTGGTGTCGGGTGTCTCTGCTGCCCAGAGCGGAATCCGAAACCTGCCTTTGATTCTTGCCCAGAGTGCTTCGACGGTCATATCTGGTGTGACCCTTAGCAAGTTTGGATACCCCCAGCCTTTTCTCCTAGTTGGGGGAGTACTCACTGCGGTTGGGTCGGGCCTGTTGTACACGCTTGAAGTTAATACCGGCTCTGGGAAATGGATTGGCTACCAGCTGTTGGCTGGTATTGGTATTGGATGGTGCTTCCAGGTTCCTTTGGTGACGGCTCAGGCGTCTGTTGCGCCGGAGGATTTGCCGTCTGTGACGGCCATGGTATTGAGTATGATCTTCCCTCCGCACTTCATAATACTTTTTTCTACGCAGTATTAACTAACTGTTCTCAGCTGTGCAAACCCTTGGGGGATCTGTCTTCGTTTCAGCCGGCCAGTCAGCGATGGTCAATGTTCTTCTCAAAAACCTCCGGAGTGAGACTTCAACCATAGACGCCGTCAAGGTCGCGATGACAGGTGCAACGGAGCTACGCCAGAAGTTCTCTTCCACCCAGATGCCGTTCATACTGACCTCCTATATGGAAGGCCTCCAAGCGACATTCCTTGTGGCTGTTATCGCGTCCAGCGTGGCTACCGTGGTTTGTTTAGCGACTCGGTGGGTTAAATTCTCGGGTCAAACTACTGCTGCTGCCGCCGCCTGACGAAAGGGAATAAATTGTTCTTTTTTTTTTTTTTTTTTTCTTGCTAGGATTAGAAGATAAAGTTACTGGGGTAAGGACCTTCCAATATTAATTCTCCCATCCCCAGTTTCCTGTATATGCATGGAGTGACTTATCCTAGTGCCATGAAGTAGGACCAGTATTAGTACTACTGGATGGATAATATCAATATCTGGATGACAGAACTCCCTTTCATACATATTGAAACATTTAAAATCCATTACTGCCTTTCCGATTGCCTGAGGAAATTTGAAATTTCTGAGCACGCTGCAACGAATTTCAAAGTAGTACCCTTGGAGGACTTTTACAATGGTATCAAATTGATTAGGCAAAGAGTGTTAGGAGCTTCGCGGGGTGACACTTAATATATATAGCAGGAGGCGGTCAACGACGACTTAAGTTCCTGCTTACTGAGACCCAAACAAAAGAGACGCGCCACCCTCGCGTCCAACGACCCTCACATTTTTGGTTTGTAAATGGGCTTTTACCCCTGTCCCTGGAATATCAAGGCAGGCGTTGGCAGGCATATTGGCCTTGATTTGAGATTATAAGTGCGATGATGCGGACTAATCTGCATCCAACCTCAACCCCGCCCGAGGACCAGCAACCACCTCGGAAGAAAATCCGAAAGGGGACCCGGAGTTGTTGGGAATGTATGTGATCAAGCGGGAAGTTCTGTCACTAGCTGGTGGCTCTAGACTAATTGCAAGACAGGTAAGCATCGCAAGGTTCGCTGTCTTTTCGTTTCTGATGGCGACCAAAGTTGTCGCGAATGCCTGGCAAGGGGGACTCCCTGTCGCAGTCAGGACTTACCAGAGCCCGAAAATACTCGTGAATCTGATCGTGTGTCACTGAGTGATCGACTTGGCCGCGTAGAATCTCTGCTTGAGAGGGTTTTACGACGGCTGGACACCATTGGTGCTGTTGAGGAGGCACGCGCGTTACCCTCCATGGCAACCGATAATGATGATGGCTTAACCTGTAGTGCAGCCGCCACGCCTACAAATGAAAATGCCCCAGCCATGTCGCTATTTGACAATGGAGTAGTAAGTACCGCGTCCAAGACTTGTATTGGAATTTCCTTAACATGAAGTAGCTAAGCTTTCGACGATCGGAGGTCTCTACGCCAAATATCACATTGTTTAGTGCCACCACTCGCGACTGGGAAAGGCTACGCCACGAGCTTTTGGATTTATTACCATCTGATAGAACTTTGAGAGGACTCGAACAAGCCAATAGCTGCTGGTGGCTAGTCAGGGCTCAATGCTTCCAAGAATACGAGGAATCGCTACTTTCAAGCGCGACAGCAGCCCGTTCAGTCAACCACCCAGCGGCGATCGCGAAGGTTCTTCTATGGGTGGCCATTTGTCTCCAACAGCTCCCACGAGGATTTGACATTGAATCAATAGAACTTTTGTATCCTCCGGCACGATTGATTGCAAAGTGTGTCAGAGTTGTTGCACATTCCATCAGCTCTGATGAGGCTTTAGTAAGTAGCCTGGATGGGTTGGAGTGTCTAGTAGTTCTCGGGGTACTTTATAACAATGACGGGAAATTGCGGAGCGCTTGGTTGTGCTATCGCCGGGCCCTCAACGTGGCTCAAATTATCGGGCTCCATCGACTAGCCTCAGAATCGACGGACGAGTCTGGGTCGGTTTCCAGGGCAAAAAGTATCTGGAATCATATCATCTACGCAGACCGATACCTTTCTTTAATGCTAGGAATGTATCATGGCATCCCTGACGTGGCTTTTGATTTAAAGCGAAGCGGGAATGAGACACCGAATCCATCCCACATGGATCTTCTTTGTCGTATAGCTGGATCCATTATCGAACGAAACCAAAGGTTTAGCACAATTACGCCTTCAATGGTTCGAACGACACAAACCATCGATGCGGAGCTGATGTCGATTGGCCCTCTATCGGTGGTTGAGGACCCAACTATCTTACCGCCGGGAAAGTCTATCGAGCGAGCCCAGGGCTACACCAAACTCATGACACAGCTATGGCATTATCAACTCATCGCTTGGCTCCATCTGCCACTTCTTTTGGGATCTGGCACCGAGAGACGCTATGACTACAGTAGACAAAGCTGTCTAGAAGCATCCCGGCATATGATTATATGCTATACATCTCTGCGTCGACTCACTGCGAATAGCTTTTGTTGCAAATCGCTGGACTTCCAGGCCTTTACTGCCGCTGTCACTCTTCTAATAAATATCATTGGCCCGACCGGTCGGTCTCATCTCGACTCCAATGACTGGCCAGCTATCGAAATTGTAATGACAAGCCTGGAGACATTGGCAGAGGGACAACCACCCGACAAGGTAGCAACTCGAAGTATTAGCGTTCTGCAGACTTTGAAAAGGGTTGCGACGAGGAACAAGACAACCAGATCTGATACTTTCGATGGACTTTCCCCCATGGACGGCCAGCCCGGGCGCATCAAACTTGACATTCCATACTTTGGTACCATTTCCCTCGACTGTAGCACTCGCAGTGATCTTCCAGAGCAGCACCAACTTAATAACGGTCCGCCAAATCCTAGTAGTACAGACCTGGCTGCCAATAATGCACTACCATCGAACGTGGGAAATACTACGGAGGCAAGCACAATGCATGATCAGGCCACGGATGCGGGGTCTTGGCCAGAAGCTCGCCTGGAACTTGGCCCTGCCGATATATGGTCCTTTGACCCGGATTTAACAGCATTGTCCTCTTTCTTGCCAGACTTGGAAAATAGCTGGGACTTGGGGCTTTGAATTGGGATTCGGCTCACTTGAACCATGTAAGGGGAATAACCACCTTTATCATCTTAGCCAAACTCCCTGGCACAAACTGAGGAATCAAGGCTTGTTCTTATCCAAGATGCCAAGATATGGTGGACCTCAACATTTCTGACGCTTCAACGTGCAAAGTGCCTCGGCTTGCTTTTGAACCTGTATTGCGAATAGCATATGCAACCTCAGTTCCAGCTTGATAGAGATGGATGGTGACAGATTGATTATCTTCTTTGCATCACAGTGCCTTTCTGTAAACGTACCAGATCTTGTGAGAATTGTTATAGTAGGTACTGTTGCCCGGTTAGAAGAAATCACGATACCCTGATAGACAAACCGTTTATTATATTGACCCTGAGAACCTCACTATCGCCAACTGATATCTCCAAAACCTACTGTACAACTCCTAAAAAGTACCCATATTACTCATGAAAATACAATCCATGTTTCCTATAATGGGCTTGTAATTCCTTTCTTCCTGAATTTAAAAAGCATAACAATTGTGACCCATTCTCGATTATTACGAAAAGACGAGGTAGAATTCTTTTTTTCTAAAAAAAAAAAAAAAAAAGAGGAAAAAAAAAGGAATCCGAACTGCAATTGAGTACTCAATAAATACAAAGCTTAGCGGTAAGGACCGGCAAGATATAGAAAGGAAAAGGATGAGGCTAACAGCATCTGTAAGCCGAACACCCTAGCCAGAGGGGATTCTTTCGGCTATTTGTAGGAGCCTGTGTGCTCCCATCAATGCGTGCGGCTTAGAACGTGATAGTATAAGAAGAAGTGGTGAAGACCGCGTTCTGTCCAGTGAAGGGCTCAGTGCCGGCACCAATACTCAGGTAGTACTGGGAGGCGGGAAAGCTCTGCTTCTCAGTGAGGTAGGTGAAGAACTCGGCCAGGTTACCAGAGTAGTCCTGGATCTCGGCGGGAGCAACGAAGCTGAAGACGGTGGTTGCGGCATTGGTTCCCTTGTAGAGCTTCCAGGTTTTACCGCCAACGGTGGGGTTATCAATCGGGGAGCCGGTGGTAGAGATGGGACCGGCACCACCAAGGGCGGCGGTCCAGATCATGATCTCGTACTCGGCTTTACCACCGGCACTAGAGGAGGTGAAGATGTCGTACGCCACGTCACCGACGATGTTGTCTCCTTTGTAGCTGCCAGTGGCTGTCAGCATGATATTGTCAGTCATTGAAGCCGTTGCTTACCTCCACTTCCAGGTAGACTGGATGTTGGTCAGGTCAGAAACCTTCTTGTTCTTGGGCCGGGCCTCGAGGTTGGGGTAGCTCTTCACTTGGCCCTGGCCGCCGGACCAGCTCCAGGTAGAATGCCAGGCGACGCCGCTAGAGCTGTTATTGGTCGAGGAGTCGAGTCCAACGCACTGGTTACCAGAGCCATTGTCCTTACCCCACATATTGTTGTAGAGCTTGAAGTTGCCGACATTGATCGTATCGTACTGGCCGCAGGAATCCTCACGCTTCGCAGCCTTGTGCTGATGAGATGGAGTCCATGCAGCAGTGGCAGTAGCGGCAAAAAGAGCCAGAACAGCGGGAGAGGCCTTCATGGTGATGGCTTTGGAAAAATAAATTAAAAAATGAACTGAAAAGTGGCAAGGAATTGATAGCTGCGGTGGTGGATTGGTTGAAATGAGTGTGTTGATGGCTTGAAGCAACCTGATGATGGTCCCTTTTTATACCTAAGGAGAGCCATGATTCACGTTGCTGCCTCTCAGTGATGTTGCCTTGATCATCGGCCGCTTTCCCATCTTCATCCGCATATGGTGTCTTGATCTGAAACCAGGGTGATGGTGAACAGGATGTACTTCACCAGGTTCCGAACATACTCCGAGAATTGTATACAAGGCACTAACCATTGATGAAGTTCCTTTATTCCCATTGAACGGACTAATTAAACGGCTAAAATGAAAGGTGTGCTGGAAGTCGATCATACCTGTGTTGGGTGTCTCATATGAGGATGATCGCCGGTCACAACCGGCGGGATCACAACCTTAGATTGGACGATTGATCGGGATATCAACGTTCCGCAATACAAGCCTCTTTGAGGTTAACTCCACCTGCTAAGCGTTTGTTGCATAACACTCGCAACCTTACAAAATGTCACTGATAGATATAAACTCATGATAGTAATTACTGGCACCACGCCTTCACGCAGAACTGTTGGGGAAAACGGGAGCACATGCAGGGCACACCCATAGTGCTGTACAAGCTTTTAGGTACAACTACGATCCTTGTTAACCTCCACTACAGTGCATAAGGATTCAGCCTGTTCAGTTCCTTCTGGCATTAGGCTAATACTACGAAAACTCCTAGTGGTCTGCCGGATGTTTGGTTCGCCGTAGTCAGGGTCTCAGGGTCTTTGGGTCTTAGGGTTAATATAATACACGGTTTCAGTCCTCCGAAATTGGTAACCGGCCTTGTCGATCCACAAACCGTCGAAACTTAATCACAATGGCTATGTACACACGGGACGCCGGCTCGGCACAGAGATGATAGGGCGACTGAGCTATATACCGGATCTCGATTCAGGAATGGATGCCAAGCTTCGTCGCATCCACTGTCTCCTGGAAGCTATGGTTGTGCGGACGGATTTTGATTAGCTGGTGTCTGCCGAGGTGCATTTAACATGGATCGAAACGTAATAGGAATTGATTTCATGGAAATGAGCCTTACGAAGGATGAAGTCAAAGGAAAAGAGTAATTTGAAGGGTTAATGGGTAAAAAGACGTTTAAGGTTAACGCCTGTTAAGATTCCTTCTCATCCAACTACTCTCGGAACCCCGGAAGACATGAGTCAATTAAAGAAGCTTCCGCGAACCTATGCGCCACATTCATGCTAGCTTTGTCCGCCCCCTGTCGTTATTAAGATGAATGTACTCGTACATGCTAGTATGTATACCGAAGAGACACCCATAGCAAACCCACCACCACGCTCTAATTAGAGCCGTGACGTCACGGACTCTTCCATCGGTATGGTCTCGGAACCAAGGGGCTCCACTTGAATGGTGTACCCGCCCGTTTGATGCGCAACTCCGGTACTATAAGGGGGCACACGACCGTTGAGATGGTTAAGTGTACGTTCCGGACGGGCTAGACCAATCATGCAAGTTCCTGCTCTTCATATCCATGTTGTTATGGTCTTCCGTGTGGACCCGATCCAGCAAGAGCCTTTTAGTACCTGGAACCATGGCACTGCTATCATTCACCGACTAGCCACCCATTGTTGGCTTGCTCCTCATCTAGGCTTACGTAGTCCAGGTCTTTTAGTATATGCTCATCATTCAGTTAGTAGCTAGTGCTTGTTTGACTCGATCATGAACTGGCATCTAAAGGCTGTACTAGAAGATGCACACTGTTTTGGTCGACGTTTGATTTAGCCTGATACATCGGAGCGTCTGCATGTGATATTTCTCTACTACCGTACAGCACGCTAATCACGGATAAGTGTAGAGCTTACTCAAGCAGAACAATTGAAGATTTGTTCCGCTACAAGATCAAGTACGCCATAGACAGGGGCCCTTGCAGCTAGAAGTGCGCTAATGTTCTATTCCTGATCTGGGGCTATATTAGCAGTAATAAACACGGGACAAATCCGGGATAGTGGAATGTTATAGAATCATATAACTAGCATAGCATAGGAGAGACAAAGGAATCGCCCCAATTACAGATAGAGTCATTAGCCAGCATGTTGTTCTAAAGAGCCCACGAATTATACACTCGGCTCATGTATATAAGACGTCATGAAAATCCCTACAGACGCTAGGCTGTTTCTTCTAGATACTGAACGTACGGCAGAAAGAATAGTGATATCCTTGGATAAAATACTCCCAGGTGTCTCAGAACAAAGGGATGCTCTGGCAAGCGACGGTTGACAAGAACAACCCCCTTTTGGGTGCTTCAAACCCAGTGACATAGGCAACACGGTACCTGAGACTTGAAAGATCATTGCTTGCAAGGAGTACTATTACAGCTCCTGTGAAATTAACCTTTGGGACCATCTTGTCGAAGCGCATGTTCTTTAGGCGATTGTCAATGTATCCAGCTGCGCGAGTTCAAGGAGGCCATATAACTTAGCCCTTTACATACATACAGAAAGTTTTGCTGGATGGAGGATGGACACCACACGGGCAATCTTTAATGAGCAATGGTCTACTCTCCCATATCGTATCCTGACATGCATACATGTCACTTTCTATGCTCATACTTCTTGTCCGACAAATTTGATACTGTTCTATATTGGCCTAAAAGAACTTCTAAGAATGATTAAGCGAGAATTGCATCTTAGGGCCCATCTGAAGCACTCGTGTACACTCTGTAGAAGTTCACCTCTATTTTTTAGTAGCGGTGAGTTCCTACGTTGTAGGTTTATTAGTTATTCGATCAATTACGAGACGAGCGCTTGGCAAATTAGTGGTTTTCCAGCGATGTATGATTCTACGTTTATGAATTAAAAGTAATTTGAGGCCCGGCACTATGTCGGACATATCCCGAAGTAACTTGTCAGCCAACAACAACCCGATAGCTTCGGTATGGATTCAGGAGACAGTTCTCGGTCCCATTGAACCTAGACGTACAATTATAGACATAGGAGAGCCAGGAGCAGGGTTCAACCGCCCATGTACGAAGTTTTGTTGGAGGCATGGGGGACTGTATCTTGTTCCGTAGGCCATTAATCTTTTTACTTTTTTTTCCCGCCCCTCAACATACCAGGGACTGCCCTTACGGCAGTGTATGCTTAGTCTGTGAACCCATAGAGAGGTCCACTACAACATCGGGGTGGACTGATTAGGGTACGAAGGCTCAGGTGATAGACGTTGACCATGCGATTTCCATCGCAGAACTCATAATTGTCAGAGTGTGTAATCAGAAAAATACAATATATAACCATTAATATAGACCACGCTCTCGTAGATATAGTATCTGAACTTAGAGGAACCTTCATTATTGGTGAGTAAAGTGCCAATATATATAATCGAGGCATATCAGGGAGGAAATGATGATGGTTCAAATCATGTTATGTCAATAATGTATCAGTATTATAAAGTCACACGTCTCTCCAGTGTCCAGCACCGGACAAAGCCCCAATAATAAAACCCCATTCTTATGTACAATATCACTCATCCATTTGCCACTGGTAATCCAAAGCCTCCAGTCTTCCTTTCCGATTCCTAGCTGCAAACCACTCTTTCTCGAATCCGTTACTGCGGTCCACTCCATCCCATCGGTGCCCGGGTCTGATTCCATATCGATTCGGCTGGAAAGCCCCCTTGTATAAAGGTTTACCGGTTGCGCTCTTCCCAGGACCCTTGTTCGTCAGGAATTGTGCAGCTGGATCATTCCACCGCTGTCGGGCCCGCAACTCGTCATTCATATCTTCATCATCGACCGTCCGGGCAACCGGCATCGCCCGCGCTTCCTGAATCTGCTCTCGACGTTTCTCTCGCTCTTGCCGCTGGACATCGCCCATCAGCGCCTCTTTCGCCTGTTCCTCCTTCTCAAGTTTTTCCTGCTCCGCCTTACGCGCCTCCGCCCGCTTCATTGCCACGTTAATAATTCGTCCAGACGCATCACGATAAATCGTCTCCTGTGCCTGCTCCCCTGCTGGATTGTCCTTATACAAGGCAGCCTCGACCTTCTTCCGTCGTTCCTGCGCAGCAACCATCGCAGCCGTCTGGGCCGCAGTCTGTAGACCCGCCCTCGCACCAGACTCCATCCTCATCGCTCCATCGTCATCCTCCCCTTCAACGACGGCAGGTGCATCATCATCTTCTCCTTCATTCCTACGCGCCGCATTCTCAGCAGCAGCCGACGCGATAATCGCATCCGCCGCGTCCTGCTCGTTCCCGGCACCGCCTAGACTCTTCCAGTTCGACTTTTTCGTGCGACGGAACTCCGCACTCCGGGTAGACGTTACAACTGATGGACCATCCTCGTCATCGTTCATGAAGTTCATCGAGGAGCTCTTGAGATCGGGAGGGTCGTCATCGGCAATGATCAGGCCTTGTGTGGCGGTATCGACTTCCTTGGTCTTCTTGCGCTTCTTTTTGGGTCGCTCCGTAGCGGGGTCGGCTGTTAAATAGTTCTTTGCGAGGTAATCGGCTAGTGAAGAGGAAGGCATTTTTGTGATGGTGATCGTGGCGTTTTTGGTGTATGGGAGATTGGATAAAAGCTGGTTTGGTGTCACCGTTATCTGATAATCGGAGGATCGTTTCGCCAGGATGTAGTTTGCCGACTCCAAAGGCGGTCAAGGTTTGACTCTATTCTGTATTCGCCAAGCATTTTAGTCACCCTCCAAGATTACCTACTGGTAGCCTCAGGCTGGAATGAATATCTTTGTACTCAAAGCCACGAAGTTTGATGGATATTTAACACTTCGCGTAAGAAACGTCTTTAGTTTATTCGAGGAATTTTGGTTATAGAAGTATGATTAGAAATCTTTCGACTGTTCAGCTCTGGTCTGCCATTATCAGGGCCCACTCAGGTCACGAGGTGTTCTGCTGTCACAGAGAACGTGACTGCCTCCATAGTTTACCTCCAGGTAAATACGAGTGGGCGTATGCTTCCTAGAGTGATATTCCAAGAGACCCTTCCTCTAAATGATCTTCTGAAATCAGGCTGCTACCGCGATCTTATGCTCTTCTACCTTAAAAATTCGAATAATGAATATGATATTTTTTGTGTTACCATCGAGTTTTGTGGTTCTTAAAAGGTCTCCAAGAAGGTGCTGATTTAGTCTCTTGGTACGAAACCTTTCACGCACAATGATTACCAATTGGCATTCTGTAAGGGACGGGCTTCGGGAAGACGCTTTACATAAATTAAAGTAGGGTTCTAGATATCCTGCATGCCCAATAGGTGGCTAGATAAGTTCGGCATCATTACACTGCTTTGTTACACAGCGTGCTTGTACTTCCCCAACGCCCAGCCTCTGATAGCGTCCCACAGATTTAGCTTTCCCTACAACCAAGATATAATATAGATCATCATCTGTTCTGCTGGCACGCCTCCCGATAATCACATAATTCAGAAATTCAACCCTCGCTGTGTCAAAGAACAGGAGACCGACTCGTTTTTGGCCGGAGTAGATGCCGTGACTTTTGTTCCTCGGGCGAATATGGCAATTCTCGAAGGTATGAACCTTAACCCTCAACACATCGTTGTCCAAATGGAGATATTTTGAAACACTGAGCGGTAAAGTCGTCATAAACTCGATCCTTCCAGGATACGCCATCCAAGACCAGGACGGTATCGGATGATCATAACCAATCGGCTCCGTCTTCGAATCAGGTCGCTTCCACAAAAGAAGCCGAGGTAGAGCGCAGGAGAAGACTCCATATTTTCCTTCAGTTTCCAGCGCCTTTTCTAAGCGTGTTATTAAACCGGTAAAAGCAGCTATTCTGTCTGTGATTACTGTGATATCGCGACGAGTGTAGTTCTCAATCAGTTCCTGGAGAAACTTGATTGTCGGGAGAATCCCAGATGTTATTAGCCTCCTCGGGAAGTTCGAGTCAATCATATACGACCTAGTCAGAGGACTAGCAAAGGCGTTAGCAGGAAATACTAGATCGATGATCTGACAGGTTTCACCATTCTATTTTTACAAAGTTATCACACCGGACTCCCTCTCCACATTCCCAGTATATACCTGACGATGTAAAGAAGACGGTTCGACGAGAGAGCACCCTCTCTTGAAGTACCCATGCCCGCTTATTTAGAGGCCCCTCATCCACAAGTCGACGGAAACTCTTTGCAGGGTTGGTCCTGCAAAGTGGCAGGCCAGTATTTCGAGCCCGGCGAGTATTGAGAAAGCCTTCTTTCCACTCGAACGCTGAACTTGGTGCCAGTGTACAGTATGCCGAAGCGAAGATATGTTCCATTTTGGTACCCTGGCTCTTCCAGTCCTCTTCATTACCCTGAATTATACAAAGAGCATCAATCCAAAGATATGTCTTTCCAAGTTCACGTGTCACCGTGATTGCATCTTGGAATAGCTTTGGCAGATCATTATAATTGAAGCCTTCGTCTTTTCGTCTTTGGAAGTTCTCATCCGTTGTAAGATACGGCTTTTGCTCCTGTGATTTATTACCCCAACAGTAAGACAGTGCCACATACTCAACACCGCATTCAAGCTCATGCAACTGTAACCTGTTGGCATCATCTTGTCGAACAGATATAACCCTTTCTGGGTGATGATTGCTACCATCTGCACGACAATCGGGATGATTTTGATCACAGCTCCTCAGCCATGTGCGGAGAAGATCAGACCGGTCAATCGGGGGTACAGAAGACTTTAGTTTACCTAGAAGAGGAAGTTCACGCAAACGGTCGGTGAGACGGAACTGGGGACGGGGCTCAAAAGAGTCGAGTATTTCATCATCAGGGTGAGTATCCCAGGATTCCTGCACACATCGTAGAAGTCGCTCGAGAAGCCTCTCTCCCTGCTGAAGCTGCTCCCAAGATTTCTTGTGCATTATCTCCTCTGCCACCTCTCGCCATGCTTCCCCAGCGAACCCTTGAATAGTTATTTGGACTTCTCGACGCTCCTCTGGCTCAAACACCTCATCAATTCGGCCTGGTAGCTGAAGACATCGTCCTCCCCCTCCTCGCTCCTTCCAACATCGCCATTCTTCTATCAAGAACTCCTCATCTAAACGGGCTGGATGTTCCATTGCTCTGCGTATCTTCAATATATGGCTGCATCGCCCTTGAGAGCTAGGAAGCAACAAACATTGCTAAAGGCCATGCCGTAAACCAGCTGTTCCCTAGTGGGGCCATGCTAGTTAGTGGAGACAGACACCACTTAGTTAAGCCAGCTGGCTTTTGCTCGATAATTGCGATCGACATAACGCATAGCCTCAGGCAAATCCGAATACCGGAGTCCCCAGACTGAGCTCCTAGAGGTTCCCTTCTTACTATAGCGCAGTAGGCGGTGTGTAAGGACGGTGAACTAAATTGAGGGTTTGGATATTCAAGATTTCTTACCAAAACCTTAGTGTTTTTATATTAAGTCACGTACTTAATACGTATTTAGTAGCGGTCCACCTTACACAATATACTCTAGTGTACTGTAATATATTGGAATCATTAATTAAACGTAGAGTTATAATCAAAGCTAGGATAATATGATACTAGTAGTAAAAGAAAAATGTAGACAGGGTCACCGTGAGTGAACTGTAAAGTTGGTAGTAATATAGTAATGGTGGTATATCTGAGCCTTCAACTTTCTCCCTGCAAGCTGGGAAGTTCAAGAAAGACGTTGACTTTGGTCATAACCCTCAGAATAGGACTCTGCGTATCCTTGGGATGAGCCGAATCGGCCGTGCGATTAATGCAGCGCTGCGATCCTTTTGCGTAACGAGGGTTTACCACAATCGCAACCCCTTTTCCAGCAGATTAGGCCTCAGGGCCCGATTACGTCTCGCTCGAGAAACTGCTCACTGATAGCGACATCATTAGTATTAATGTACCCCCGAAAGAAAACACGAAACACCTGATCAGTGCGACGGAGATAGTTAGGATGAAAACCGGTGTTGTCATCATCAACAGCGCAAGAGGTGCTATTGTTGATGAAGTTGCTATGGTTGATGCCCTGGAGAGCAACCGTATTGCCGTTGTCGGCTTGGACATTTACGAAGGGAGCCTGAGATTCATGCGAAGCTTATGAAGCAAGAGCGTGCTTTCATGGTTCAACATGTTGGAACACATACTACCGAGACATTAGCAATTATGGAGTCGTAAGCTATGGAGAACGCACTGTGGGCGATCTTTGGCGACGCACTTCTGTCGCCTGTGCCGGAGCACCTGGGGCTAGGCCACGGGAAAGAATTAAGCCCTATTAATGGGTTTTGTGCCGGATACATTGTATATAGATTTCTACTGTATAGGTCTCTCAATTGTTATAGAACATTTGACATCGTACTTCTTACCTCAGCATGTTTATTAATAGCTTCACGAAAGAAGCCTCTCAAAAGGGCTAAATGCTTTTGCGGTATTGAATCAATAAGGTCTAAAAGAAAGGCCAAATTGACTACATTGAAATGTTGACCATCCTATAGAATTGGATGCTTTCGCATCATTTCTTCTGCAATCGAAAATACATACACCTAGCTACAGAAATAGGAAGTCCAGAAAGCTAGCATGACAAGAGAGCTGTGTCTAGAGTCATATCATCAAGATCGGCAATGATAAGGTATTACCGGTTCTGACATACAGGGTGTTGAAAACAACACGCTCTAGCCATGTTTTATTTCTAGTGCCTGATCGCTTTGTTCTCAATTCCTTTGCTTGCTACGCGGAAAAGTAGGGCTTCGAGACAACCTAGATAGGAATGTCCAAGACCTTCCCCATAATCTAATACCATCTCTCATACAGTCTACAGCGGGTTCTTTGGTAAGAACCGTTTGGCCGGCTTGTAGGCGATCAAAGGCACGCCCATAATCGACCTCGATGATCAAACCCTACCTGCCGTTATCAACCGTAAGCCACCAATGCTTCAGCTACTATGAAGGTCTGTACTCAGCCCATAAACGGGTGTGCAATTCGGCGACGATGAGATCGTGAAGAGCAAGCAGGGTTCTGGAAGCGTCACTACTTGTATGGCATACGCCGGCTTTCGTTTTGTCAAAGCCATTCTAGCGGCTAAAGGTTGTAACACACTAACTGAGGAAGCTTATGTCTATCTTCCTGGAGTTTCTGGTAGCCAGAAGATTACCGCTGAGCTTGGGGTTAATCACTTTGCCCTCAAGATCGAGCTTTGCAAGATGGGTGCCGTCAGGGCACTTCCCATGGGCAAAAGTGTCCAAGAATGGGACTAATTTTCTTGAAGTAGATCCAATTTAATGCAGAGGAGTTATATCGCCTATGCTTGGGGAATATGAGCGAAATGATTCCAACGCGTCACTCCAAATCTTCCCTTGTGCAATGGCCATCATAAGAGAGCACTTTCTAGGTCAACAGTCCATGCCATGGTTGAGAATCCAACCAATAGCCCAGCTCCAGCATAATGGCATTATATTTATTTAAGTTGTTCTTATTCTTGTATACCCTTGATGGTGATAGGTGAATAAGAATTAAATACCCATCCCAAAGGGATCCCATGAGACTCGCCGCACCCTACGATTAGATCACAATATTTACAAAACTGAAGAACTGGTAATTATACGCTGTGGCCCCAAGATTACGCCCTAAAGCTATCATTTATGTACAGATATTTTTTTTTTCTCATGGCAAATAAGCATGAATTACACGCATAGGTCAAGGGTGGTACCGGAACAAAGATGCCAACATCACGAAGAACTGCTGTCGGACTCTTCAGGAATGGTCGCAAATTTGTTAAGTACCTGCTTCAAGATAGGCCGTCGGATAGGTTTACTACGTATGTCAGCAGCTTCACAGGACATTGAAGGGGATGCACCTACCTAATGAACATGTCCATTCCGGAGTCTATGCAGTCTTTGATATTGCTATCCTCTGAAAAGGCGCTCAGGGCGACAATAGGCGCCGAGTATCCCATCTCACGAATGAGTCGCGTGCTCTGAAGTCCATCAAGGATTGGCATCTGTGTGTGTTAGTTATTGTACGAGATGTAATGTGGAAGAAACCTTACCTGGATATCCATGAAGATGAGGTCGAATACTTTGCCCTCTTCCATGTTAGCCTTGACAGTGTCGTATGCCTCTTGCCCATCCTTGACTACCGTCACATCGTAAACTTCCTCAAGGGCAAGCATCCTGACAGGGTCAGCAGTTGAAAGGGTATAACTATTGACATATTGGACGTACCGAAGGGCTACTTCCTGATTAATCTTATTGTCCTCGGCCATCAACACGCGGATCTTCTTCGAACCATTGTCCGAGGAATCTTGGTTAGACTCTGATGGACCCTTTGATGGAGACGAAGGAGCCGATGGAACAGTAGGAGCGAAGAATGGTTGACTCAACCCAACTAGCCGTGGCTGGACATCAGGCTTTTCGAAGCCAGTGGCGAGTGTTTCTTTGTTACCAACAGAGCTGTGGTTTGATGGGGTCTGAGCGATGTTGGAAAACTCCTCCAGTGAAAGTGACACAACACTCGGTGTCCTTGAGCCGGCAACGCTGGAGCTTCGCGTGCTAGCTGCTGCCTCCTTGACAAATTTCAATGGTATCTTCAAGGTAAACAGCGCCCCGTTCCCTTCTTCACTATCCAATAGGATGATGCCTCCCATAAGTCGAGATAGTTGAGCACAGATACTCAAACCAAGTCCAGTTCCTCCGTATTTCCTGTTCAATCCCAGGTCTCCCTGCACGAAGGGATCAAAGACACGCCTCTGCATGTTGGCCGGGATGCCTGGTCCATTATCCTCGACCTCAAACTGGAATATGAGTGTCCGCAAATCAGACTGGGAAGGCGTCTGTGTAGCCACTTGGTTGTCGAGAAAGTCGGCACCATCCACCCGCGTTGCGTTTGACCGTGAGGGAGTCCGGGAACGTACTCGTGAGGTCGGTTTAGAGTCTTGCACCAGCGTCACGGAGCTCTCGGGGTTCGGGACTTCCTCCACACACCGGATGCGGACCTCGACCTTGCCATTCTCAGGGGTGAACTTGAGACTATTCCCAACCAAATTGATCAACACCTGCAGGATCCGATGTTGGTCGCCCCAGAGCACCATGTCCCTGAGTCGGCCTGTCTGCGGTGGACCAACAGCCGGGTGTGCCCGTTCAATTCCTCGTTCCTGGCACATGGTACCCCGAGGCTGACTATTTCCAGTGCCGACATAGTTGACACTGAAATTAATATGCTTCTCATGTACTTGGTTTTGGAATATGATCGACAGCTGAGAACGGATGTCAGAGAGTCTAAACTCCTTCTCCTCAAGATGAATAGCCTGCTCAATCTGATTCCTGCTAAAAGTCAACAAGTCATTCAACAGATGCAGCAGGAGATCGCCAGATTTGTAGACCACCTGGAGCGACTTCTTAATCCGATGCAGGTCTTCTTCTCCCATGCACACCGCACACATGCCCAAAATTCCATTCAGCGGCGTTTTGAGCTCGTGCGAAATGTTGGCGATGAACAAGGTCTTGCTCTCGTTAGCCGCTTCTGCTGCCAATTTGGCCTTCTGGAGTTCCTTTGTCCGCTCCACCACGCGTTCTTCCAGTCGATTGTATTGGATCGTGAGTTCGTCTGACATCTCGTTGAAAGTGCTGGTCAACTCCGTGAGTTCATCCGTCACGCAGGATCTCCGTTCCTTCACCCTCGAAGGAATCCGGAAAGAGGACCGGGGATCCTGTCGATTGCCAAAACTGTGAGAGCTGTTGAATCGCTCCAGCGGCCGTCGAAGGCGTTTGACCCAAGAGACAGGGGCGCCTTTTTCATCCATATGTTCCTCAATAGTCTGTACCGTGTCTCTGTGTCCATTGGTTACGTGCTCAATGTAGCCTGCGGATGGTGTTGGCGGCACCTCTGGTTCGATCGATTTCCGAGCAGCCTCCCGCATCCTGCGAATGGGAGCAACAGCCCAGTGTGCTACCAGAGGCACAACTAAGATAATGAACCCTGCTGTCCCGAATACACAGGCAAGGATGATCTTCCGCAGACGGGCCACCGGCGTGAAGGCTTCGGAGTGCGTTTCCTCCACCACAAGAATCCATTCAACCAAGGATGTTTTGGGCCGAACCGCGCCCACTGCGACATTGTATCCTTGTTCGTTTTTGGTAGAAAGCTTACTAACGGATTTATTCTCGTTGTCCTCGGATTCGACCATCAATTTCAGCGCCATAGGGTACTTGGAAAGCTCGAAGGAGGTACCGGCGGAGACGCCACGGTGACGGCTGTCTTGGGACGGCAGGGGCGTGGGCTCGAAGATGTAGTGAACCTGCGCGTCGGCGAGAGCTGGTTGATCAGTGGACGAAGTGGCTGTTGCAGGCTCTGTGGAGAAGCGGTTCTCAGGCCTAGAGGGGCCGAGGAGGAGGACTTGCCCGGTGTTGCCCAGCCCGTCGCGAGAGCTGACCACGTTTTGCACGTTCTCCGCGCTGGCGACAACCCTACAGCTTGTTAGCATGGATACCTTGCGTCTCATCGCCCGTCGCCCGACAGAAGGCCACCCACGTCATGAAACCTAGGATATCTGTATCTGATGTATTATTGACAATGGGTAGTGTCAGGGAAACCAGAGAAAAGGAGTTGTTGATTGCTATGGGACCCAGCAGCAGCGCAGAAGTTAATCCTAGGGTGTAATCGGAAAAGGCATTCACCGTGGTAGCATTGCCCTTTTCAGGGTTTTGTGTATATGTCAAATTTGGATAGAGATTGGAGGGGTATCCGAGCCCTTCATCGCCCAGCTTTACGGAACTGCCATTCGAGTAGGTGTAGGGAAGTGTGATCTCCGGTATTGAATCACTAGTGACTTTCAATAATCGGTCGCGACCATTTTGTCCGTTCTTCGAGTAGAGGATGGCCTGGTATGTGCTTAGGTATCCCCGGCTGCCGAGTGCCGATTGCACGTCGGTGATGGAAGTCGCCCAGTTCGCCTCTGATGCATTGCCGGCATAATAGCGTCGCAGAGCCGATTGTACCAGGAGTCGCGTGGAGATAGTTTTGCAGGTCACTTCGAGGAGCTCGAGGCTCGAGGCAATCTGACTCGCTTTGATGGTCGCGACGAGTTCAAGCCCGTGCGATCTGTTCGGAGGTCAGCGACCGTGAGCACACGTGCGAGACTGACCACCTACTCGACATCGACTACAAAACTATATGTGGTGGTCCACTAGTGCGTCTTGTCAGTTTGTCGATCTCCCTTGCCCGTTTTCGTGGTCCAAACTTAACTTACTGTCGCAACGGCGAGGATGACAATACCCACTAGGGCCGTCAGGAGTACTAGCAGCCCTAGCTGCACGGCAATGGGGATGCGCATCCGGGCACGGCAATGCCAGCAATGGTCAGTCCATGGAGGGGATTTGGTAGTTTCTAGTGTCCTGCTATGGGGACCGAAAATCTGGAGAAAAGAGAAACACCGGCCTAGCCAGGAGTGAGATGCATGTTTATTTGATCCATCGACCGTCCGCGGTTAGGAAGAGCCCAGAATATTCTGCACTAACCACGTTGGAAGTGCAAGGTAAACAGCCATCCCGATCAATTCCTTGGAATCAACGCGAGCAAGGGTCTGACTTAGACGGCGTTGATTTGTTGAGGGCCCGCCACATAAAGGAGCTAATGAGGGTCTAGACTACGCGAGGTCCCGCGCATGACACGCATGATTGGAATGAAGCCGGTGGGGATCCTCGGATAACACCGTTGACACTTGGCCTTGGAACAATATCAACCGAGCTAGAAAAAGAAAAAAAA